ATCAGGGTTAACATTAGCCTCGTAAAATGTAATCAGAAGAGTCTTCATAGCGGTGAGGCTTATTCCTCGCTTGGCATCGAACGGCAAACCGTGAAGGTTTCGCATGCAGTGGGAGGCTGATCGTTTTTCATACCAAGATAGGTCTTGGTACTTGATACCATGATCAACGCTGAAAACACTAGTACCCGTCTTGTTATGGATAGCAAACTCACGAGGATAGAACTTATCATTGTAATAGAAACCTTGAGCATCAAAGTAACAACATATATTCCATGATGATTTAATGAACTGATGTCAACTAACATTGACTCTCTTTATTTATACTAAACATTTGGTTCATATACAGTAAAGACCGCAAGAGGGCGGGATTCTCAGTATGAGCATCAACCAATCCCTTCAAGAAGTCACCGTTGAGTTTTTTCATAAAGATAACCTTGGGAATGTGTTCACGTGGCCACATCGTGTTGATGTAATTACTTGCATAATCTTGCCATATTTGATCAGAATTAGTTATGAGTTGATTAGAGCTTTCTTTCGTTAGTTTTCCGTTGATAATCATTTCTTCTTCTTTCCAAGGTTGATCAATACGACCGGTTTCCTTTATCAATGTTGCTAAGATAAAAACGTCTGCAAGAAATAATGAGCCTTTAAGAGTCCTTGACGAGTAGATTACAGGTGATAACATTTCCATTAAGTAAACAACACCAGGGATTAGAGCATTTACTGTTGGAACAACAACTTTATCTATACAAAGTCTCCGATTTCTTTTAGATAGAGTAATTCCATTGTCATTGTTTTCGATTGTTAGTTCTTCTATTGTTTCCGTGGCTCCAATTTCGTCTATCTTCGAATTACAGAAATCACCAAGTCCACTGAGTTCACGTCTAGTTAGATTAACACCAGCCAATGTAGGTTTGTCTTCGATGAACTCACGTAGATCTACTCTTGCACATCTAATCTCACCATTTCTGAGTTCACCCCATGAAATAGTTAAATTGTACTTGTTGATTTTAATAGGATTTAACGATAACCAGTTTAATGTTGACATGTTGAACGCTTGATTTATAATGAATTTTCACCTCGTTTCACTTCCCTTTTTATACCTACCAGAGTTTTGAACTCATTGAACATCTCTTGCAACCCTTTGTAAGACTTAGCTCCAGTAACGATTAACTTTCCGGTTGAGTAATAAACAACGCATAATTTATCTTTTCCAAATATATGCAGGAAAAATTTCAGGTTCATAACTCACTCCAGGTAGATTTTCAATATTGGGTTTACTTCTAAGAAAAGCAGATGCTGTGATGTTAACAATACGAATAAATTTGGCTCCTGGATAAACAGATTGAACATGAACACGAGCTTGTTTTATTGTTTTACATCCTGTGGCAATAATTTTTCCTGATTCAAATGTTAGAAGAGTCTGTAGACCATTTTTTATTACATCTGCATTGAATTTTTTCATTCGATTGTTGAGAGGAATTTTTTGACCATAGTCCCATAATGACACGAGATTAGCTATTTTCATTTTGAACAAAAGAGATGATGAAATAATACCTAAAGATTATGAGAATGGTTAGAGCGAGGAAAAGCAGCAACGCGTAGACTAGATCACTCATGATTGACCGATTAAATAAATTGTTACAAGTATTTATACATTTTTTAATAACTTTATTCTTATATTAAATCATTTTTGACCAAGAAAGATTCATATTTCTCTGAGAATTCTTTGCTCTTCAGTAGCTTCATCAACTCCAAATCCGCTTTAACATGGCCAAATGTCAATTTATTCGGGAGATTGTCATAATCTATTTGGTCAACAAGAGCTTTTAAACGTTTGAATGTAACGAAAGAGACCACAACAGTCCAATTTGGTCCATCGATTTCATCATATCCTGCTGGTGCACTATGCGCCCATTCAGTTATCTTTACTGTCAAATTTTCATTTTTAACAATATCAATTATTAGATTGGCTTTTAGACCACTTGCACCATAATTAAACACAACTTGATCTGTCCACATTTTGATACTAATAGTTAACTAACAAAGACTAGTGCTTTTTATACCTATTTTTATTGCATCATCTTTTATTACGTCATTCTACTCAGTTCATTAGTCCTAACATCGAATGATGGTTTCAAGGACACTATTGACGTCATCCCAGACAGTTCATTGAACTTTCTAGAATGTTCTAGAACGTTCTCTGATCCCCACCCCCATTTCCGTTTCCGCTTCTGGCTCAGAAGCGGAGGTTTTCATACTACTGACATTTTAATCTTCAACAAGGAAAGAAGCCTCTTGCTTTTCTACCAGAATTCTGCCAATTTGATTGTGAATACAATCGACAATATAATAAGTCGATGGTCTCAATCTATGAACTTGATGAAGATAAAATTAATATTCGTCGTTTATCAAGATCGAACCTCTGGACTAAATATGGTCAATTCACTCGAGATGAGACAATGTCCACTTCTCTGATTGAAGCTGATCATATAGTCGATGTAATCTATGATTCTGACAGAAAAGGTATTAGAGTAGATTTGATTGCAAAGAAATTCAAATATCTCAAAATGTTTGGTAATGACAATTCTTATTATGGTCAAGTTTACAGATGTATCACCCATGATACTCGTCCTAAAAAGTGAGTATATTTACTGATTTTTAGTGTTAACATAATCTAACTATTATGTTAACACAAAGTAACACTAAGTGCGCAGTAAGTTTATATTAATTCTTAACGATTATATGGTCTAAATACTTTCTATCTTTTCATATTCTTAGCATTTCTACAAATATAAGAACATCTTTATTGAATTGCGAGAATGAAGAAATCTTTTTGAGCCATATAGTCTAGAAGCCATTTCTCTTGATGATGGCTTGGCGGGAATTTACTATGGAAAGGTAGATTCTGTTGGGTCTAATGTGGGTGATGTATCTGATGAACCTGATGATGATGGCGAGGTGAATGAATCTCACGACGCGTATCTTTATTGCTCATCTCTTGGTTATGAAGAATTGTCTTCATATGAGATGAAAGGACATGTTCGAACTCGGTCCTGCTTTTTATCGAAATCAGATACAGGAAAGATCTTGTACTTTTTGACGAGCCATAAATTCTTTAAAAATGTGCTGTGTGACGATTCAACAGATGTACTTGACTATTCGTTCCTGAAAGAGTTCATCGGAAGTGATTCTCTTGATCACATTGAGCTGATTTCTCATGAAAATTCTGTGCTAATTTGTAACAAGGAAACGAAAATGATTTATTCTTATAACGATGATATTGATACTGATATTGATTACGATAACACTGATTATTGGCAATTTATGTCTAAAATTGAATCTCCCGAAAAGATGATTACAATTGCATCGATTTGTTTGCCGATTGATTGTGAGCAATAACTAATTGTCACCCAATTTAACACATTGATGTTCAATTATTTACAACAAAAGAATTTGATTGAGCTTTTCTTAATGCAAGTGATAATCTTACCATTATTATTCAATTATCGCTTCTTAATTTCGTTTTAATAAATCAAATAAATCATTGGATTCTTAAAACGTACAAATAATGAATGGATCTCATTTTTTTATTGAAAGTCTAAATACGCAGGAAGTGATATGATGATTCAATCCTTTTGTTGATTTTTTTCACACCGAAGAGTTTCTCAGTAAATCTTTGTTTGAAATTAATTGTTTACATTGGATCAAATTGATTAGAATCAATTAAAATCTAACCAACAATAGGATTAAAACTAAAAGAAAGATCACCAATTAACAGATTTAATCATCATATAATTAGAAGTTTGCCTGATCTCATGCAAACAAATTAATTGATTGATCAGTTTTCAATTAAAATGATCTTCATCTGCTGATTGTTTATCATTTAATAGATGACGAAATGTCTTTGTTTGGTTTCTAATTTGGTTTGCAATTAGCTCTTATTTTTGATTTGGTGATTAATTAACTATCAATATTTTTCCCATGAAACAAATTGAAAACCACCATTTAATGGATTGGTAACAATAAGAGTTTTATTAGATAATTAATATCTTTGGACCTGTTGATTAAGACTAATATTTATCTCTTCACATTTATGTAAATTGCAATCGAATGTCTTGAGTTTGAAAAGGAACCGAGTAGAAAACATTAAATGGAGTCCATTTTCTTTTGACAGTTAAACGCTTTTGTGAAAACCGTTAGTTCCTTATAAGCTAATTAAAGATTAACAATTAATTAGATGAAGACACGAAATGTTGTTAAAGGGATTCGACTGACTAATGCACTTATAATTGTTGCTTCTTAAAAAATTGATTGGATACTTAAAGTGAAGACAAATTTTAATTATCATTTAGAAACGAGCCGATTGGTTTGTTTTTGTATCGGTTACATTGAGAAAATCAGCTCAGTTAATTTAACCTCAGAAACACAAGGTTGTGATCCAGTTTAGCGGAACTTAAATCACTTGATTTATTAATTGTTGGATTATGATGTAACTCATTAGTGTTTCTGTAATACTATTGTATCGATATATTATATCGATATTTCAACTTGCAATACTTATTGATACTTTTTTATTCGATACCAATACTAGAAAATCGATAGAAAATCTAATTTTTGATCGATTTTCAAAAACTGATCGGACTTTTAATCATTAAAATCGGGCGATAAGTCAATGAAAATCGCGATTTTTAACGATATTTTAGCAATATTTACCAATACTAGTATTAGTAATATTATCGATATTCTGTGTTACAATACTTTTAATATCGATAAATACTTTAAGCAAGTATTGCGAAACTCTATAACTCATCACTTAGCTTTTCATTAATTGATTTCACTTTAAATTGAACACAAGTCTAATTGTTTATTGTATTGTCTTGAATTTCATCATCACAACGCTAATTTTTTTCGACTAAAATTTTGTGATGAAAATATCGACGTAAGAGCTGTCAACTGCTCTCTCTCTCTTCTCTCTCTCTCTCTCTCTCTTGGAGAAAACCTAGTCGTCATCATTTTCTTTTGTCTTTCTTGTCTATAAAAAGTTTAATTCTTTTCTATAACGGTTCAGTTAAACATTAATTTCTTTCAAGTGATCATTAAACTGCCTCAAGATGGAAGATCAATTTATCCTTTTAGAAAATGATTATGTTACTATTGTGAATAGAGAAAAATCTTACAAAATTTCTAAACAAAAGTTATCGTCGATTCCTTACTTTGTGAAATTATTTGCCGATTCTAATTGTGACACAACCAAAATAGAACTTGATCTTGATGAAAGTTCATTTGATAATATTATCGAGTTTATTCTGGATGGTCATTTATCGATTTCCATTGAAAATGCCTTATCAATGATGGAAACTGCTGATTACCTCGGACTGGGCGAAATCAAACAGAAGTATCTTGATTTCTACCAATCGAATTTCAACATCAAACTATTGGAAGAGTTCTTGGTTTTTATGATAAACGTGAATCCTGAAATGTTTACTGAAGAAAAGCTCAATTCATTTATTGCGAAATTTTTCCTTCCAATTACTCACACGAGCATTTCTAAAATTTCAGTCGCTCTATTGGAACGAATTTTGAAGTTGAATTTGGTTGTTTTCGAGTTTCAAATATATGAAGCCATTAAGCGATGGAGCTTTTTCAATAAAAAGGCTCGAATACAATATCTACCTCAACTCATGAAATTCATCAATTTTTGTCGTTTGAATGATGTAGAGATTCAAAGTGTCGCCTCGATGCTTACAACTTCTGGATTCACTCTCAACGCTCCACAGTCGAAGAAGAAATCTCCCCGTGCCTGTCTTCCCGAATTCTGCCAATCTGATTGCATAATTAATCGACATTATGATAAGTCGTTGGTTGCAATCTATGAACTGGGTAAAGATAAAATTAACATTCGACGTTTATCAAGATCAAATGTTTGGACTAAATATGGTCAATTCACTCGCGATGAGACAATTTCTTCTTCTTTAATTGAGGCTGATCATATTATCGATATAATCTATGATTCTGGAAGAAAAGGTATTCGGGTTGATTTGATTTCAAAGAAATTCAAATATCTCAAAATGTTTGGTGATGACAATTCTTATTATGGTCAAGTTTACAAGTATTTCGCTCATGATATTTGTTGCAATCAGTAAGTATTGATGCATATTGATAACATAATACATGTATGTATTACTAAATACTCTTTATCTTTTGCATTCTCAGTACTTACGTAAAAATCAGTGACTCGCTAAGTGGATCTAATATTTGCAAAAATTTGAACATCAAACGTTTGGAAGCCATTTTTCTCGGTGAGCACTTGGAGGCAATTTGTAATGGAACTGGAAATGACGTTGACTCTACTAGAACTGATGATGGATGGGACGATTGGTGCATTGAATCTCGTCGTTCTAAGGAGTCGCATGAGCTGGTGAATGCTCCCTGTTATTGCCCGTCTCTTGATTATCGAAAATTGTCTTCTTGTGAATCCCAAAGATCCGCTAGAACTCGGTCCTGTTTGTTATCGAAACCAGATATGTATTCAAGTTCGCAAAAGTTCTTGTACTTTTTGACGAAAGTTGATTTCCGTCGACAACGTGAGTGGATATGGAAGTGGCACAAATGGTGCATCAATAGTACTCGACTTCTCGTTCCTAAAAGATTTTATCGGAAGCGATTCTCTGAATCATATTGAGATGATTTGTCATAACAATTCGGTTCTTATTTGTAACAAGGAAACGAAAATGATTTATTCTTATAGCGATGATACAGATTATTGGCAATTGATGTCTAAAATTGAATCTCAAGAAAAGATGATCGCAATTGCATCGATTTGTTTACCAATTGATTTTGAAAAATAACTGATCGATTTGAAACATTGATGTTTAATCACTTAAAACAATTAAGTTTGATTGAGCTTTTCTTAATTTACGTGATAATTTTCACTTTCATATTCCATTATTGTTTCTTAATTTCAATTCATTCGCAATTATGAACCTTAAAACAGAAAAGATTAGCTTTGATCAATAATTAAAAATTTCCACAATCTCATGCAAACAAATTGTTTGATCAGTTTTCAATTAATCCGATCTTCATTTGGTGATTGTTCCTCATTTAATAAATGACGAAATGTCTTTGTTTTATTACTAATTTGATTATTAATTTGCTTATTTTTCGATTTGGTGATGAATTAGTCATCACATGAAGCTTTTAATTTTTTAATTCGTAACCGACTTTCAATGTATTAGTCATATCACATTACAAGTTTGTTGGATAATATCACTAATTAATATCTTTGGACCGAATGATATAGTCGTTCAAATTGACCATTTTCTTTTGACAATTAAAAGCTTAACTCTTTTTAAGGAAACCGTTAACGAGTTTTTATTAGTGATCAGAGATTAATAATGTACATCAATTAAATGATACGAAATGTTGTTAATGGATTCATTCGGGATGGTCTTATTTATGAGGTATTGAATTCGAGTTCTCATCAACATCGCTTAGGTATTTTAACTCATCTCAAGGTATCTTCATTACCACAGTTCATTAACATGGAACAAATTTCAAATTAGAAAACCGGAAAAGTATGTGATTATTGTGCTGATATAAACAGCATCATCAAAAGATTAACCGAGTCAGATTTAGGATGATAATGAGTTACATTCGATATCCTTTAATTTTAAACGAAAAAATCGGGTGGATTATAATTAGATGGACAGACTTGACCATTTGATGAGAAAAATCAATCGCTTGACCAGAGGTACCAAAAAATGCAAGTCGACCATCAGCAATAAGCATAATTTTATCAAACAATTTAAATATTTCGGACGAAGGCTGATGAATGGTACAAATGATAGTTCGTTGCTCGGACGCCAATGACTTTAGAACTGAAATTACACTCAGAGCCATGAATGAATCGATGGATCCATGATAATCTGATGCCAAGAAAAAGCAAATTGATCATTCACAAGACTAATTAGACTTTGATTAGTGTCATTGACAATGACATTAATTAAATTTTGACCCATCAATACATTGAGTAAAGTTGTTTTACCAAAACAATTGAAGAAAAAATTTGTTAATAATGGAACAAAAAAAAGCAACCAGATCAACTAAATATACTGAATTACCTGCCTCTGATGGACCAAGAATAGCCAATAAATTACCCTATTCAACATAACCAGACAACATAACAATTAAGGTAAGAAAATTGATACATTGCTTCTAAAATCTAATTAATCGCAATTCTTCATACAATTGACACAAATCATCAGAAATCCATGTGAATATCCATATGAATTCAATCAGAACATCAATCTATGGAGCAGGTAAAAGTTGATGAGTTAAATAATGAGCGTCGCTCATTGAGCGATGTTTAAATTTTGGAGGACAATTTGCGGGCTTGATTATAATTCTTACTGATATTTTGATTCCTAAAATATCTATTCATATCCAAGTTCTGATTTTATTGCTAATAATCTCTACATTTACTGTATGTTCAATACAGATATTGAATGTTTAATTTTCTCAATTTCAAAGCCGCGCTTCTATTTAGTAGATGACGAAAGTAGTGACACCATTTTCTTCTTATCTAAAAAAATGAAAGAGTTAACTTTTCAGCAGTTACTGTTCGGTTTTAACGAGTGAACATCGAATCAAATCGCTTCAAGATGGAAGATCAATTTATCCTTTTGAGAATAATAATGTTACGATTGTGAATAGAAAAAAATCTTACGAAATTTCTAAACAAAAGTTATCATCGATTCCTTATTTTTTAAAACTATTTTCCGATTCTAATTGTGACAAAACCAAAATAGAACTTGATCTTGATGAAATTTCATTCGATAATATTATCGAGTTTATTTTGGATGGTCATCTATCGATTTCCATTGAAAGTGTCTTTTTAATGATGGAAACTGCTGATTACCTTGGAATGGGCGAAATTAAACAGAAATATTATGATTTCTACCAATCGAATTTCAACATCAAACTATTGGAAAAGTTTTAGATTTATATGAGAATCATAAATGTCTTGAAAAGATACATGAAGAGAAGATTAATTCTTTTATTAGGAAGTATTTCTTTCCAATCTCTCATACAAAATCATATCTACAATTTTCAGTTGCTCTATTGGAACGCTTATTCAAAATGAATTTGGTTGTTTCTTCGGAGTTGCAGATGTTCGAAGCTATTGTTCGATGGTGCGCAGTTAATGAAACTCGAAAACAATATCTCCATCAACTCATGAAGTTCATAAATTTTTGTCGTATGAATGATGAAGAGATTCTATATTGCGTATCAATATTTAGGAAAGTTGGAATCGTTTCTGATCTTCCATACGGAAAGAAGCCTCGTGCTTATCTACCAGAATGCTGCCAATCTGATTGTATGATTAATCGACATTATGATAAGACGTTGGTTGCAATCTATGAACTGGGTGAAGATAAAATTAATATTCGACGTTTATCTAGATCGAACCTCTGGACTAAATATGGCCAATTCACTCGAGATGAGACAATGTCCACTTCTCTGATTGAGGCTGATCATATCGTTGATATAATTTATGATTCCGGAAGAAAAGGTATTCGAGTTGATTTGATTTCAAAGAAATTCAAATTTCTTCAAATGTTTGGTGATGATGATTCTTATTATGGTCAAGCTTACAAATATTTCGTTCATGATATCCGTGCAAATTAGTAAGTATTAATTCTTAACGATTTTATGATCTAAATACTTTCTATCTTACATTAGTGGCACTTTTGTAAAGATCAATAACCTGGGAACATTTCGCATGACAATTGATTGAGTAAACAAAGTGCGGAAAATTAGTAATTGTCAACAAGAGAGGAGTCGATTGTTTAGATTTTGTTTATCAAAGTTTAGAGGATAAATTTACATGTAGATTGAAATGAGTGAAATTCCAATTACAATAACCAGATAGATAGTCAATCCGATTAACATTGAATCAGATTTGAGATTTATGTCAAAAAAAATGTATCAATTGTTTTTTATCAGCAAAGAAATGATAACATGAGATGGACCAATTGATGACCAAACCAAAAATTAGAGCTTATGAATATGAAATCGCTCGGACGCCAACGACTTTAGAACCGAAATTACACTCAGAGCCATGAATGAATTGATTCCCGAAGTTGGTTCATCACAGAAGAGTATCGGTGGATCCATAATAATCTGATGCCAAGAACAAGCAAATTAATCACTCACAAAACTAATTAAAAATTGATTAGTAAATTCACCTCTGTAGCAATAGAAAGCCTCTTCCTCTCTCCCCCTGATAACTGTTGACCAGTTTTCTCAGAAATTTAGGTCGAAATCAATGAGATCACAAGCAATTCGAATTATCTAAGATAATTTATCTTAATTTTAAATTCGCGCTTCCATCTGGCAGATGACGAAATGTATTAAGTCCTACCGAGTTTGGAAAGAAAACCTAATGAACATAATTTTCAAAATTAAATTTTGTTTTCTCTTTCTTGTCTATAAAAAGCGTAATTCTTTTCTAAAACGGTCCAGTTAAACATTAATTTCTTTCAAGTGATCATTAAACTGCCTCAAGATGGAAGATCAATTTATCCTTTTAGAAAATAATAATGTTACTATTGTGAATAGAGAAAAATCTTACAAAATTTCTAAACAAAAGTTATCGTCGATTCCTTACTTTGTGAAATTATTTGCCGATTCTAATTGTGACACAACCAAAATAGAACTTGATCTTGATGAAAGTTCATTTGATAATATTATCGAGTTTATTCTGGATGGTCATTTATCGATTTCCATTGAAAATGCCTTATCAATGATGGAAACTGCTGATTACCTCGGACTGGGCGAAATCAAACAGAAGTATCTTGATTTCTACCAATCGAATTTCAACATCAAACTATTGGAAGAGTTCTTGGATTTTTATGATAAACGTGAATCCTGAAATGTTTACTGAAGAAAAGCTCAATTCATTTATTGCGAAATTTTTCCTTCCAATTACTCGCACACGAGCATTTCTAAAATTTCCAGTCGCTCTATTGGAACGAATTTTGAAGTTGAATTTGGTTGTTTCTTTCGAGTTTCAAATATGAAGCCATTAAGCGATGGAGCTTTTTCAATAAAAAGGCTCGAATACAATATCTACCTCAACTCATGAAATTCATCAATTTTTGTCGTTTGAATGATGTAGAGATTCAAAGTGTCGCCTCGATGCTTACAACTTCTGGATTCACTCTCAACGCTCCACAGTCGAAGAAGATCTCCCCGTGCCTGTCTTCCCGAATTCTGCCAGATTGCATAATTAATCGACATTATGATAAGTCGTTGGTTGCAATCTATGAACTGGGTAAAGATAAAATTAACATTCGACGTTTATCAAGATCAAATGTTTGGACTAAATATGGTCAATTCACTCGCGATGAGACAATTTCTTCTTCTTTAATTGAGGCTGATCATATTATCGATATAATCTATGATTCTGGAAGAAAAGGTATTCGGGTTGATTTGATTTCAAAGAAATTCAAATATCTCAAAATGTTTGGTGATGACAATTCTTATTATGGTCAAGTTTACAAGTATTTCGCTCATGATATTTGTTGCAATCAGTAAGTATTGATGCATATTGATAACATAATACATGTATGTATTACTAAATACTCTTTATCTTTTGCATTCTCAGTACTTACGTAAAAATCAGTGACTCGCTAAGTGGATCTAATATTTGCAAAAATTTGAACATCAAACGTTTGGAAGCCATTTTTCTCGGTGAGCACAGGCAATTTGTAATGGAACTGGAAATGACGTTGACTCTACTAGAACTGATGATGATGGGACGATTGGTGCATTGAATCTCGTCGTTCTAAGGTCGCATGAGCTGGTGCTCCTGTTACCGTCTCTTGATTATCGAAAATTGTCTTCTTGTGAATCCCAAAGATCCGCTAGAACTCGGTCCTGTTTGTTATCGAAACCAGATATGTATTCAAGTTCGCAAAAGTTCTTGTACTTTTTGACGAAAGTTGATTTCCGTCGACAACGTGTGAGTGGATATGGAAGTGGCACAAATGGTGCATCAATAGTACTCGACCACTCGTTTTTAAAAGGTTTTATCGGAAGCGATTCTCTGAATCATATTGAGATGATTTGTCATAACAATTCGGTTCTTATTTGTAACAAGGAAACGAAAATGATTTATTCTTATATCGATGATACAGATTATTGGCAATTGATGTCTAAAATTGAATCTCAAGAAAAGATGATCGCAATTGCATCGATTTGTGTACCAATTGATTTTGAAAATTAACTGATCGATTTAAAATATTGATGTTTAATCACTTAAAACAATTAAGTTTGATTGAGCTTTTCTTAATTTACGTGATAATTTTCACTTTCATATTCCATTTTTGTTTCTTAATTTCAATTCATTCGCAATTATGAACCTTAAAACAGAAAAGATTAGCTTTGATCAATAATTAAAAATTTCCACAGTCTCATGCAAACAAATTGTTTGATCAGTTTTCAATTAATACGATCTTCATTTGGTGATTGTTCCTCATTTAATAAATGACGAAATGTCTTTGTTTTATTACTAATTTGATTATTAATTTGCTTATTTTTCGATTTGGTGATGAATTAGTCATCACATGAAGCTTTTAATTTTTCAATTCGTAACCGACTTTCAATGTATTAGTCATATCACATTACAAGTTTGTTGGATAATATCACTAATTAATATCTTTGGACCGAATGATATAGTCGTTCAAATTGACCATTTTCTTTTGACAATTAAAAGCTTAACTCTTTGTAAGGAAATCGTTAACGAGTTTTTATTAGTGATCAGAGATTAATAATGTACATCAATTAAATGATACGAAATGTTGTTAATGGATTCATTTGGGATGGTCTTATTTATGAGGTATTGAATTCGAGTTCTCATCAACATCGCTTAGGTATTTTAACTCATCTCAAGGTATCTTCATTACCTTAGTTCATTAACATGGAACAAATTTCAAATTAGAAAACCGGAAAAGTATGTGATTATTGTAATAGCTATTACTCTTTGTATAAACAGCAAAAGATTAACCGAGTCAGATTTAGGATGATAATGAATTACATTCGATATCCTTTAATTTTAAACGAAAAAAATCGGGTGGATTAAATTAGATGGACAGACTTGACCATTTGATGAGAAAAAATCAATCGCTTGACCAGAGGTACCAAAAAATGCAAGTCGACCATCAGCAATAAGCATAATTTTATCAAACAATTTAAATATTTCGGACGAAGGCTGATGAATGGTACAAATGATAGTTCGTTGCTCGGACGCCAATGACTTTAGAACTGAAATTACACTCAGAGCCATGAATGAATCGATGGATCCATGATAATCTGATGCCAAGAAAAAGCAAATTGGTCATTCACAAAACTAATTAGACTTTGATAAGTGTCATTGACAATGACATTAATTAAATTTTGACCAGTCAATACATTGAGTAAAGTTGTTGTACCAAAACAATTGAAGAAACAATTTGTTAATAATGGAACAAAAAATAAACCAGATCAGCTTATAAATATACTGAATTACCTGCTCCTGATGGACCAAGAATAGCCAATAAATTACCCAATTCAACATAACAATTAAGGTAAGAAAATTGATACATTGCTTCTAAAATCTAATTAATCGCAATTCTTCATACAATTGACACAAATCATCAGAAATTCATGTGAATATCCATATGAATTTAACCAGAACATCAATCTATGGAGCAGGTAAAAGTTGATGAGTTAAATAATGAGCGTCGCTCATTGATATGTTTAAATTTTGGAGGACAATTTGCGGGCTTGATTATAATTCACTGATATTTTGATTCCTAAAATATCTATTCATATCAAGTTCTGATTTTATTGCTAATAATCTCTACATTTACTGTATGTTCAATACAGATATTGAATGTTTAATTTTCTCAATTTCAAAGCCGCTTCTATTTAGTAGATGACGAAAGTAGTGACACCATTTTCTTCTTATCTAAAAAATGAAAGAGTTAACTTTTCAGCAGTTACTGTTCGGTTTTAACGAGTGAACATCGAATCAAATCGCTTCAAGATGGAAGATCAATTTATCCTTTTGAGAATAATAATGTTACGATTGTGAATAGAAAAAAATCTTACGAAATTTCTAAACAAAAGTTATCATCGATTCCTTATTTTTTAAAACTATTTTCCGATTCTAATTGTGACAAAACCAAAATAGAACTTGATCTTGATGAAATTTCATTCGATAATATTATCGAGTTTATTTTGGATGGTCATCTATCGATTTCCATTGAAAGTGTCTTTTTAATGATGGAAACTGCTGATTACCTTGGAATGGGCGAAATTAAACAGAAATATTATGATTTCTACCAATCGAATTTCAACATCAAACTATTGGAAAAGTTTTAGATTTATATGAGAATCATAAATGTCTTGAAAAGATACATGAAGAGATTAATTCTTTTATTAGGAAGTATTTCTTTCAATCTCATACAAAATCATATCTACAATTTTCAGTTGCTCTATTGGAACGCTTATTCAAAATGAATTTGGTTGTTTCTTCGGGTTGCAGATGTTCCTATTGTTCGATGGTGCGCAGTTAATGAAACTCGAAAACAATATCTACCTCAACTCATGAGGTTCATAAATTTTTGTCGTATGAATGATGAAGAGATTCTATCTTGCGTATCAATATTTAAGAAAGTTGGAATCGTTTCTAATCTTCCATACGGAAAGAAGCCTCGTGATTATCTACCAGAATTCTGCCAATCTGATTGTATGATTAATCGACATTATGATAAGTCGTTGGTTGCAATCTATGAACTGGGTGAAGATAAAATTAATATTCGACGTTTATCAAGATCGAACCTCTGGACTAAATATGGTCAATTCACTCGAGATGAGACAATGTCCACTTCTCTGATTGAGGCTGATCATATCGTCGATATAATTTATGATTCCGGAAGAAAAGGTATTCGAGTTGATTTGATTTCAAAGAAATTCAAATATCTCAAAATGTTTGGTGATGATGATTCTTATTATGGTCAAGCTTACAAATATTTCGTTCATGATATCCGTGCAAATGAGTAAGTATTAATATATATTAATTCTTAACGATTTTATGATCTAAATACTTTCTATCTTACATTATTAGCACTTATGTAAAGATCAATAACCTGGGAACATTTCATGACAATTGATTGAGTAAACAAAGTGCAGCAAATTAGTAATTGTCAACAAGAGAGGAGTCGATTGTTTAGATTTTGTTTATCAAAGTTTAGAGGATAAATTTACATGTAGATTGAAATGAGTGAAATTCCAATTACAATAACCGGATAGATAGTCAATCCGATTAACATTGAATCAGATTTGAGGTTTATGTCAAAAAAAATGTATCAATTGTTTTTTATCAGCAAAGAAATGATAACATGAGATGGACCAATTGATGACCAAACCAAAAGTTAGAGCTTATGAATATGAAATCGCTCGGACGCCAACGACTTTAGAACCGAAATTACACTCAGAGCCATGAATGAATCGATTCCCGAAGTTGGTTCATCACAGAAGAGTATCGGTGGATCCATGATAATCAGATTAATCTGCCAAGAAAAAGCAAATTAATCACTCACAAAACTAATTAAAAATTGATTAGTGAATTCACCTCTGTAGCAATAGAAAGCCTCTTCCTCTCTCCCCCTGATAACTGTTGACCAGTTTTCTCAGAAATTTAGGTCGAAATCAATGAGATCACAAGCAATTCGAATTATCTAAGATAATTTATCTTAATTTTAAATTCGCGCTTCCATCTGGCAGATGACGAAATGTATTAAGTTTTACCGAGTTTGGAAAGAAAACCTAATGAACATAATTTTCAAAATTAAATTTTTTTTCTCTTTCTTGTCTATAAAAAGCGTAATTCTTTTCTAAAACGGTCCAGTTAAACATCAATTTCTTTCAAGTGATCATTAAACTGCCTCAAGATGGAAGATCAATTTATCCTTTTAGAAAATAATAATGTTACTATTGTGAATAGAGAAAAATCTTACGAAATTTCTAAACAAAAGTTATCGTCGATTCCTTACTTTGTGAAATTATTTTCAGATCCTAATAATTGTGACTTGGCCGAAATAGAACTTGATCTTGATGAAAGTTCATTCGATAATATTGTTGATTTTATCTTAAACAATCATCTATCAATATCAATGGAAAGTGCCTTCTCAATGATAGAAACTGCTGATTATCTCGGAATGTACAATATCAAACAGAAGTATTATGATTGTTTAGAATCAAATTTCAATATCGATCAATTGGAAGAGTTTTTAGATTTTTATGAGAATCGTAAATGCTCTGAAAAGCTCAATTCCTTCATCGCGAAATTTTTCGTTCCAATTTCCAACACAAGAGCATTTCTGAAATTTCCTGTTGCTCTAATTGAACTAATTTTGAAAATGAATTTGGTTGTTTCTTTAGAGTATCAAATAGTTGAAGCTATTGATCGATGGATTAAATTCGATGAAAAGGCTCGAGCACAATATCTTTTGCCTCTTATGGAGTTTATAAATTTGTTTCATTGTAATAATGAGATTCAAACTGTCTGGGAGACTGTCTTGCATTCTGAAATTCAGCATTATATTCCAGGGCTGCAAGAACTTTGTGCTCGTACTTGTACACTAAAACTCTGTCAATCTGATTGTAAAAACAATCGACGATATAATAAGTCATTGGTCTCAATCTATGAGCTTGATAGAGACAAAATTAACATTCGACGTTTATCAAGCTCAAATCTCTGGACTAATTATAGTCAATTCATTCGAGATGAAACAATTTCTTCTTCTTTAATTGAGGCTGATCATATCGTCGATATAATTTATGATTCCGGAAGAAAAGGTATTCGAGTTGATTTGATTGGAAAGAAATTTAAATATCTCAAAATGTTTGGTAATGAAAATTCTTACTATGGTAAAGTGCATAAACATATCACTCATGATATTGAGGATCCTGAATTGTGAGTATTTACTGATTCTTCTTGCTAATGTGATAACATGATCTTTAATATTTTTTATCTTTTTCGCACCCTTAGCGCTTGTGTTAAGATTAACGATTCGACAATGAAATCCAATCTTAAAAAAGAATATTTGAACATTAGACGTTTGGAAGCCATTTCTCTGAATGATCACTTGGACGGAATTTGCTATGGAAATGAAGATTATATTGATTCTATTGGATTGAATAGTTGTCATGATGAGCCTGATGAATATGATGATAATTCAACTGATCAGTATTATTATTGTCGGTCTCTTAATTATCGAAAATTGGCTTTATGTTCTCCAAAAGGACCAGTTCGAACTCGTTCATGTTTATTTATGAAACCAAATGACTATTCAGGTTCTACGAAGTCCTTGTACTTTTTGACCAAACGTGAATTCTGTCGTATGTTTTTTGAGCAAGGATTTCCGGATGACACATATGTACTTGACCATTCGTTTCTGAAAGATTTCATCGGAAGTGGTTCTCTGAATCATATTGAGCTGATTTCTCATAACAATTCGGTTCTTATTTGCAACAAGGAAAAGAAAATGATTTATTCTTATATCGAAGATACTGATCATTGGAAATTTATGTCTAAAATTGAATCTCCTGAAAAGATGGTCACAATTGCATCTATTTGTTGGCCGATTGATTTTGAATAACTGATTGCCAATCAATTTAAACATCGATGTTCAATCATTCGAAACAGATCACCTTGATTGACTTTTCCTAATTTATGTAATAATCTTACCATTATATTTCAATTATCGCTTTTTAATTTCGTTTCAATAAATCAAATAAATCATTGGATTCTTTAACACGTACAAATAATGAACGGAACTCATTTTTTTGTTGACAGTCAAAAGGATTAGGAAGTAATATGAAGGCTCGATCATTTTGCTGATTCTTTCACACCAAAGAGTCTCTCAGTAAACTTTTATTGGAAATAAATTGTTTAGATTGGATCAGATTAATTAGAATCAATTAAAATCTAACCAACAATAGGCTTAACAAATCAATTAACAGATTTAATCGTCGCATAGTTAGAAGTTTCCCTAATCTCATGCAAACAAATTAATTGTTTGATCAGTTTTCAATTAAACTGATCTTCATTTGCTTATTGTTGCTCATTTAATAGATATGACGAAATGTTTTTGTTTTGGTTTCTGATTAGTAGTTAGCTTTTATTTTGATTTGGTGATTAATTAACTATCAATATTTTTTACATGAAACTCTAGACAAATTAAAAATCACCATTTAATGAATTAGTCTCAAAACGAGATTTATTAGATAATTAATATCTTTGGACCTGTTGATTAAGTCAAACATCCATTTCTTCACATTTATGTAAATTACAATCAAATTTCTTGAGTTTGAAAAGGAAACCAAGTAGAAACCATTAAATTGAGTCCATTTTCTTTGTCTACTAAAAGTTAAACTCTTTTATGAAAACCGTTAGTTTTTATTAATGATAATTAGAGATTAACAATGTACATTAATTAAATGAAGATACGAAATGTTGTTAATCGGATTCGACTGACTAATGCACTTATGATTGGATATACAAATTGAAGACGAATTTTTAATTATCAACAAGAAAGGAGCCGATTGCTTAGATATTGTTATCCGTCTTGTTGAGAAAAGTCCAGTTAATTTAACCTCAGAAACAGAAGATTATGATGCAGTTGAGAGACACTTAAATTACTTGATTTATTAATTGCTGGATTATGTGACAAATCATTTAAATATTCTTTAATTGCATATTGTGATTTCATTTTAAATTGAACAAAAGTCTGATTGTTTATTGTGTTGTCTTATTAATTTCATCATCACAACGCTAATTTGATTCGACTTAAATTTTGTGATGCAAATATCGACGTAAGAGCTGTCAACTGCTCTCTCTCTCTCTCTCTTTGGAGAAAACCTAGTCGTCATCATTTTCTTTTGTCTTTCTTGTCTATAAAAGTTTAATTCTTTTCTAAAACGGTCCACTGGACCGGGTCCAGTTAAACATTAATTTCTTTCAAGTGATCATTAAACTGCCTCAAGATGGAAGATCAATTTATCCTTTTAGAAAATGATTATGTTACTATTGTGAATAGAGAAAAATCTTACAAAATTTCTAAACAAAAGTTATCGTCGATTCCTTACTTTGTGAAATTATTTGCCGATTCTAATTGTGACACAACCAAAATAGAACTTGATCTTGATGAAAGTTCATTTGATAATATTATCGAGTTTATTCTGGATGGTCATTTATCGATTTCCATTGAAAATGCCTTATCAATGATGGAAACTGCTGATTACCTCGGACTGGGCGAAATTAAACAGAAGTATTTTGATTTCTACCAATCGAATTTCAACATCAAACTATTGGAAGAGTTCTTGGATTTTTACGATAAACGTAAATCCCCTGAAATGTTTACTGAAGAAAAGCTCAATTCATTTATTGCGAAATTTTTCCTTCCAATTACTCGCACACGAACATTTCTAAAATTTCCAGTCGCTCTATTGGAACGAATTTTGAAGTTGAATTTGGTTGTTTCTTTCGAGTTTCAAATATATGAAGCCATTAAGCGATGGAGCTTTTTCAATAAAAAGGCTCGAATACAATATCTACCTCAACTCATGAAATTCATCAATTTTTGTCGTTTGAATGATGTAGAGATTCAAAGTGTCGCCTCGATGCTTACAACTCCTGGATTCACTCTCAACGCTCCACAGTCGAAGAAGAAATCTCCCCGTGCCTGTCTTCCCGAATTCTGCCAATCTGATTGCATAATTAATCGACATTATGATAAGTCGTTGGTTGCAATCTATGAACTGAGTAAAGATAAAATTAACATTCGACGTTTATCAAGATCGAACCTCTGGACTAAATATGGTCAATTCACTCGCGATGAGACAATGTCCACTTCTCTGATTGAGGCTGATCATATAGTCGATATAATCTATGATTCCGGAAGAAAAGGTATTCGAGTTGATTTGATTTCAAAGAAATTCAAATATCTCAAAATGTTTGGTGGTGACAATTCTTATTATGGTCAAGTTTACAAGTATTTCGCTCATGATATTTGTTGCAATCAGTAAGTATTGATGCTTATTGATAACATAATACATGTATGTACTAGTATTACTAAATACTCTTTTTCTTTTGCATTCTCAGTACTTACGTAAAAATCAGTGACTCGCTAAGTGGATCTAATATTTGCAAAAATTTGAACATCTAACGTTTGGAAGCCATTTTTCTCGGTGAGCACTTGGAGGCAATTTGTAATGGAACTGGAAATGACTTTGACTCTACTAGAACTGATGATGGATGGGAAGATTGCGTCATTGAATCTCGTTGTCCTAAGGAGTCGCATGGGCTGGTGAATGCTCATTGTTATTGCCCGTCTCTTGATTATCGCAAATCGCAATTGGCAATTGATGTCTAAAATTGAATCTCATGAAAAGATGATCGCAATTGCATCGATTTGTTTACCAATTGATTTTGAAAATTAACTGATCGATTTAAAATATTGATGTTTAATCACTTAAAACAATTAAGTTTGATTGAGCTTTTCTTAATTTACGTGATAATTTTCACTTTCATATTCCATTATTGTTTCTTAATTTCAATTCATTCGCAATTATGAACCTTAAAACAGAAATGATTAACTTTGATCAATAATTAAAAATTTCCACAATCTCATGCAAACAAATTGTTTGATCAGTTTTCAATTAATCCGATCTTCATTTGGTGATTTTCCTCATTTAATAGATATTTATTCTGGATGGAAGCGCGAACTTGAAATAAAGAAAACAAGAAAAATCATGCGATCAACATGATCGCTTTTCTTAGTAAATTTGAGAGATCGAATCATGAATGTCGTCTTTTCTGTCTTTTTTTGATCAAACGGAACAAAAATTTTGTCAACCTTAAGTTAAACAGGGTAATCAAATCTTTGATTAACCCCTCGAAGTTTAATATCCCAGGGCGTGCGATCGATACAATTGAAAAACTTACATTCATCTGCTGCTCTTTATTTTCTCTTTCTTTTCTGTCTAATCCTCTTATTAATCTCATTAACATTTCAATTTGGTCAATTTAACGCCGCTTTTTTTCATTAATTAATAACTTTTGACCCTGACCACCTATGACATTGGTTCTATTTTATGTTGTTGAAGATTTTATTGCTAATAATCTCTGCATATATTTAATACAAATAATGTATCTTCTCAATGTCGAGGCTCAAATGTCCTGTTTAATTTTCTTAATTTTAAATTCGCGCTCCCATCTGGTAGATGGCGAAAGTAGTGGACATCATTTTTTTCTTATCTAAAAAGCTGAAAGAGTTGATTAAGTAACTTAAATTAAGTTAAACAGTTGAACAGTTACTTTACGTTTTAACGAGTGAACATCAAACCGCTTCAAGATGGAAAACCAATTGGTACCATTAGATGAAAATATGAAAGTTACGATTGTGAACCGAAAAAAATCTTACGAAATTTCTAAACAAAAGTTATCATCGATTCCTTACTTTGTGAAACTATTTTCCAATTCTAATTGTGATACAACCAAAATAGAACTTGATCTTGATGAAAGTTCATTTGATAATATTATCGAGTTTATTCTGGATGGTCATTTATCGATTTCTATGGAAAGTGTCTTTCTAATGATGGAAACTGCTGACTACCTTGGAATGGGCGAAACTAAACAGAAATATTATGATCTCTATCAATCAAATTTCAACATCAAACTATTGGAAAAGTTTTAGATTTTTATGAGAATCATAAATGTCTTGAAAACATTAATGAAGAGAAGCTTAATTCCTTTATTAGGAAGTATTTCATTCCAATCTCTCACACAAAATCATATCTAAGATTTTCAGTTACTCTATTGGAGCGCTTATTAAAAATGGATTTGGTTGTTTCTTCGGAGTTGCAGATGTTCCAAGCTATTGTTCGATGGTTCGAAGTTGATGAAAATACCCGAAAACAATATCTACCTGAACTCATGAAGTTCATTAATTTTTATCGTATGAATGATGAAGAGATTCTAAATTGCGTGTCAATATTTGAGAGTGTTGGAATCGATTCTAATCTTCGACAAGGAAAGAAGCCGCGTGCTTATCTACCACAATTCTGCCAATTTGATTGTAAAATTAATCGACATTATGATAAGTCATTGATCTCAATCTATGAACTGGGTAAAGATAAAATTTACATTCGACGTTTATCAAGATCAAACCTCTGGACTAAATATGGTCAATTCACTCGAGATGAGACAATGTCCACTTCTCTGATTGAGGCTGATCATATAGTCGATGTAATATATGATTCTGGAAGAAAAGGTATTCGAGTTGATTTGATTGGAAAGAAATTCAAATATCTTAAAATGTTTGGTGGTGACAATTCTTATTATGGTCAAGCTTACAAGTATTTTGCTCATGATTAGTAAGTACACTCGAGTGTATATATTAATTCTTAACGATTATATGATCTAAATACTTTCTATCTTCTCATATTCTTAGCACTTCTTCAAAGATAAGAAAATCGTACATGAATCGCAAGAATGACAGAAATGTTTCTAAGCCATATAGTCTGGAAGCCATTTCTCTGGATGATTGCTTGGCGGGAATTTACCATGGAAATGCAGATTCTGTAGTGGTTAATGTTGGTCATATATCTGATAGCTGCGGGGTGGATAAATCTCATGATCAGTATTTTTATTGCACATCTCTTGATTATCGAAAATTGTCTTCATATGAGATAAAAGGACCTGTCCAAACTCGGTACTGTTTTTTCAGATACAAATCAGATACGGTAAAGGTCGTGTACTTTTTGACGAGCCATGAATTCTTTAAACAGATGCTTCAAGACGATTCAACTTATGTACTTGACTATTCGTTTCTGAAAGATTTCATCGGAAGCGATTCTCTTGATCACATTGAGCTGATTTCTCATAACAACTCGATTCTAATTTGCAACAAGGAATCGAAAATGATTTATTCTTTTAACGGTGATATTGATATTGATTACAATGACTCTGATTATTGGCAATTTATGTCTAAAATTGAATCTCCCGAAAAGATGATTACAATTGCATCTATTTGTTTGCCGATTGATTTTGAATAACTGATTGCCAATCAATTCAAACATCGATGTTCAATCATTCGAAACAGATCACCTTGATTGACTTTTCCTAATTTATGTAATAATCTTACCATTATATTTCAATTATCGCTTTTTAATTTCGTTTCAATAAATCAAATAAATCATTGGATTCTTTAACACGTACAAATAATGAACGGAACTCATTTTTTTTTGTTGACAGTCAAAAGGATTAGGAAGTAATATGAAGGCTCGATCATTTTGCTGATTCTTTCACACCAAAGAGTCTCTCAGTAAACTTTTATTGGAAATAAATTGTTTAGATTGGATCAGATTAATTAGAATCAATTAAAATCTAACCAACAATAGGCTTAACAAATCAATTAACAGATTTAATTTTCTTAATTAGAAGTTAATCTCATGACTCTCATCTAATAATCTAATCTCATGCAAGCATATTGATTGCTTTATCAGTTTTCAATTAAACTGATCTTCATCTGCTGATTTTCCTCATTTAATAGATATTTATTCTGGATGGAAGCGCGAACTTGAAATAAAGAAAACAAGAAAAATCATGCGATCAACATGATCGCTTTTCTTAGTAAATTTGAGAGATCGAATCATGAATGTCATCTTTTCTGTCTTTTTTTGATCAAACGGAACAAAAATTTTGTCAACCTTAAGTTAAACAGGGCAATCAAATCTTTGATTAACCCCTCGAAGTTTAATATCCCAGGGCGTGCGATCGATACAATTGAAAAACTTACATTCATCTGATGCTCTTTCTTTTCTCTTTCTTTTCTGTCTAATCCTCTTATTAATCTCATTAACATTTCAATTTGGTCAATTTAACGCCGCTTTTTTTCATTAATTAATAACTTTTGACCCTGACCACCTATGACATTAGTTCTATTTTATGTTGTTGAAGATTTTATTGCTAATAATCTCTGCATATATTTAATACAAGATTGTATCTTCTCAATGTCGAGGCTCAAATGTCCTGTTTAATTTTCTTAATTAGAAGTTAATCTCATGACTCTCATCTAATAATCTAATCTCATGCAAGCATATTGATTGCTTGATCAGTTTTCGGTAAGATGAGCGTTCATCTTACCCAGTTTTCAATTAAACTGATCTTCATCTGCTGATTTTCCTCATTTAATAGATATGACGAAATGTTCAGGTTTTGGTTTCTCATTTGATTACTACATATGATTGTAATTAGCTTTTATTTTTGATTTGGTGATTAATTAATTATCAATATTTTTTACATGAAACTCTAGACAAATTAAAAATCACCATTTAATGAATTAGTCTCAAAACGAGATTTATTAGATAATTAATATCTTTGGACCTGTTGATTAAGTCAAACATCCATTTCTTCACATTTATGTAAATTACAATCAAATTTCTTGAGTTTGAAAAGGAAACCAAGTAGAAACCATTAAATTGAGTCCATTTTCTTTGTCTACTAAAAGTTAAACTCTTTTATGAAAACCGTTAGTTTTTATTAATGATAATTAGAGATTAACAATGTACATTAATTAAATGAAGATACGAAATGTTGTTAATCGGATTCGACTGACTAATGCACTTATGATTGGATATACAAATTGAAGACGAATTTTAATTATCAACTAGAAAGGAGTCGATTGCTTAGATTTTGTTATCGGTTACATTGAGAAAACTAACAAAACTTCATTTAGTTCAAAACTATTGACTAGGAAAAGTCGACTTGCACCATCATAATGAAACTCAATGTTTACATTTCCAAGTTATTGAATCGAGATCTGAATCAGTCAACCTCAGAAACACAAGGTTGTGATCAAATCACTTGATTTATTAATTGTTGGATTATGATGTGACAAATCACTTAGATTTTCATTAATTGATTTCATTTTAAATTGAAAACAAGTCTGATTGTTTATTGTTTTGTCTTTAATTTCAATGTAATTTGCAAACCAGTTGATGGAGATTCAATTGATTCAAAGATATTCATGAAATGCATTAACTTTTCGATAACAATTTACCACGATAATATTTAATAACATCGATAACTATTACGGTTAAATAAATACCAGGGACGAAATGAAGCCAATACGTTTAGTCGCTAATCTATTTTTCAAATTTAGTCCGAAACATTACCAAGTCCAAAGCTTACTGAATGTTAACAGATCATTTTGAACCTTTGAACTTTTAAATTACAATTGAAATATGATGAGGCTTTTTAATTGTTTATCATAGTAATTGCATAAGCAATTAAGGTTTTCTGAGAATTGTTTTTGTTTTGAAAATTCTAATCTAATGATTGAAATCGGAGGATTTGACGATTCAAAATGATGTTAATTAAATTTTCTCAGCAATTAGTTGTAATAATCAACTTGTTCAGATCTCATATTAATATTAATAGTTGATAGACAAGATAAATCCAAAGCTTTGTGTACATAATTTGTAAACATTGGAAAAGAAAAATAAATTTTTTTTGCAAAATTGATTGAAATCCAATTGTTTCCAACTAATTGATTCAATTTACTTCGTTTAACAATTGAGATTAAATATCGTAATTGTATCTTTTCCTCTTCTATTAGATTCTTAACTCTATTCATTATCTTTAATCTTTTCTATCAATTTCTCAATTTGTGAGTTAATCTCCATCTCGAAATCTCTTTCATTCCAAGTCCAATCTCTTTGATTTGTTTAGTGAATTTTCCAGCGACATTAAAGTTAAAAGGAATTCGTCGATTGGGTCGAAAATTGTCCAGCAAAGTACCAAGAGTTTTGATAGCATAACAAGACTCGTTCGCTGCTCGATCAACAGAATAATCATTTAGAAATTCTTCACCATTGCTGTAAACATCATATCGAAACAGTTCTAAACTCAATCTAATCTTTTTTAATCTTCTCCATATAATCGATAACTTAATCAAAAAAGATCGGAACAGTCACTTGATCGCTTCTTCGAAATGTATTTTGATGGAATTTAATGATTGGATTTGAGAAATCATTATCTTAGGATCAACAAATCTGACTTGGTGATTAGTAGATTTCAGCTTTTGATCTTGGCGATTGGTGAATACGCACCTAAGACAATGTCAATAGAAATAAAGAATCAATATTTCATAAGATTTTTAATTATTAATGAATTAAATGATTTTATTGTTATTGATGAATTGAAATTAAGAAACAAAATGTAATATTGTAAGAAAGGTACATAAGGAATAGTCAATCAAATTTACTTGTTTCAAATGATTAAACATCAATATTTTAAATTGACTGACAATTAGTTATTACTCCAATCCGATCGGGAAAAAGACGGATGCAATTGCGATCATCTTTTCGGGAGATTCACTTGTAGATATAAATTGCCAGCAATCAGTAGCCTCAATATAAGAATAAATCATTTTCGATTCCTTGTTACAAATTAGAATCGAGTTGTTATGAGAGATCAGCTCAATGTGATCAAGAGAATCGCTTCCGATGAAATCTTTCAGAAACGAATAGTCAAGTACAGCTACTTTACTTCCAAATCCTCGCAATGAATGTCGACTGAAATCAACTTTCGTCAAATAATACAAGACTTTTGATTCGTTATTTGTATTTAAAGAGAAACATGACAGAGCTTGAGTTGATCCTTGGAATTCACAAGCAGACAGTTTTCGATAATCAACAGATCGAAGATAATATTGATTAGTCGATCTATGAACATCAAACTCATCAGATTCAGGGGATCTTTCAGGGGACTTATCATCAACACACGAATTGCTATCGTCATCATTCCATTCTTTAATCCAAGCATCATCACTCGAATATCCATCCCGATAGCAAATTCCCTCCAGCTTATCACCAGAGCAATGGCTTCCACACGCTTTATGTTGAAAACTTCATAACTAGATTCTTTAGGCCTATTCGCGATCTTTAAATGGGTACTAAGGGTGTAGAAAAGATAGAGAATAGTTAGATTATGTTATAACTAAGAATCAGTAAATATACTCACGAATCAGTACAAAAATCATGAGCGAAGTACTTGTAAACTTGACCATAATAAGAATCGTCACCACCAAACATTTTCAAATATTTGAATTTCTTTGTGTTCCAATCAACTCGAATACCTTTTCTTCCAGAATCATAGATTATATCGACAATATGATCAGCCTCAATCAGAGAAGTGGACATTGTCTCATCGCGAGTGAATCGGTAACTTTTTGTCCAATTATTTGATCTTGACAATCGACGGATCTCAATCTTATCTTCACCAAGTTCATAGATTGAGACCAAAGACTTGTAGGAATGTCGATTACTTTTACAATCAGATTGGCAGAATTCGGGTTGACAAGCATGGGGAGAATGTTCTTTCAACTGTTGATTGAACTCAGAATTTCCGAACCTTAAAAGGACTCTTGTTATCTCTCTTTCTGTCAAATGACAAAAATTGACGAACTTAATGAGTTGAGGAAGATATTTTTTCCGATCTTTTTCATTCGATTTAACCCAACGATCAATAGCTGCAACTATTTGATACTCGAAAGAAACAACCAAATCCATTTTTAAAATTCGTTCAATTAGAGCGACAGGAAACTGCAGAAATGCTAACGTGTTGGAAATTGGAACAAAATATTTCCCAATGAAAGATTTCACCGCATCTTCAGTAAAATTTTCAGGGTATTTACGATTCTCATAAAAATCCAAAAACTCGCTCAATCGTTTTATATTGAAATTAGACACGAAACAATCATAATACTTCTGCTTGATATCGTCCATTTCGAGATAATCAGCAATTTCCATCATTGAGAAGGCATTTTCCATGGATATTGATAGATGATTGTTGACGATAAAATCAACAATATTATCGAATGAACTTTCATCAAGATCAAATACTATTTTGGTTGTGTCGGCCAAGTCACAATCAGAATCGGCTAATAATTTCACAAAGTAAGGAATCGATGATAACTTTTGTTTAGAAATTTCGTAAGATTTTTTTCTATTCACAATCGTAACATTAGTATTTTCTAAAAGGATAAATTGATCTTCCATCTTGAACACTTTAAGGAAACTAACGGTTAAATGAAATTTGTTTTAATGAATCGAATTAAAAAGAATTAAGCTTATATATACAAAGAGAAAAGAAAATAATGGCCACTAGGTTCTCTCTTCAACAAAGAGTAATAGCTTACTGATCTTCGCTCCAAACACATTTCGTCATTCCCCAAATAGAAGCGCGTATTTAAAATTAAGACAATTAAAATATAATAAGAAATTGATTATGATCTCGATGCATTTGATTTCGACATAAATTTGATTAATAATTATTGATTTACAAGCGATTTGTTTCAATTATTCTAGATGATGTTCCAACTAACGGCTTTTTAGGTCTAAGGTGCTAATTCATTGTTGAGACCTTTTGTCATCAAATACTTAAAGTCTCGGCGTTTGGGATGTGGATATAATTGAAGCTTTCCTCTCTCAATATGAAATTTCACATGAAACTCTCAGTGAATTCAATATAACCGCGTCAATCTCATGTTATCATTTCTCAGCTGATAAATACAATTGACACCAAAGAGTAGTTCTCTTTGATTGTTGATATATTGACATAAACATTAAATCTGATGAAATATTGATTCTTTGTTTCTAATAGTAATTTTCTTTTGGGTTGTGCACAATTTACACACATTTCAATCTAAATTAATCGTCCAAAGTTTGATTATTTGTTGTAACCTATTAGATTTTCTCAATAATCTGTAAATTTTTTGTTATTATTTTCCACTAATCACATGATTGTTGGACAAGTGAATTTGAAGCCAATGGACAGTTCATTTCAAAGAATTGGAGAAATTTCTAGTACAACGGACTATCAATATCTTTGTGTGTTATTTCAAAATTTGATCAAAGATGTTGAGTTTTATCGTGATCAACTAAATTTGAATGGAAATTCAATTGCTGCTAGGAGAGAAACTGATTTTATAAGAAAAAAGATTGAAATTGTCAATGAAACTCTTTCCTCATTAAATTTCATCAAAACTCATTTAGAAGAAGCGGTCAATGTGATTGTTCCGATCTCTTATCCCTCTTCGCGTGGACCATCAGATGAATACGCTGATTTTGGTGTTTTGAGTTTATTAACTGAGACGTTGATTGGAAAATTCAAATCATTTACTAGTCGAAAACTAAGAGAATGTATAACCCAATTGGATTCTTTGGATTCTGGTCACAAATCTCCTTATGATTTCTCATCGATAATTAATGAACTGTTGAAGTCTTTGGAAAACAATTCAAATCCTGATTCTCAAATCCAATTAGAATCATTACTTAAACTTGCTCAAAGTGAATTACAATTTATCAGGCAATCAAAAGATATGAATGAAGGACAATTAACACTAATCAAAATCTATTGTGATAAACTTAATCTTCTGGATGATGAATTATCATCAATTGACAAGGAAACGGAAAACAAACCAAAGCAAAAAGCAAAGAAATTACGAGATATCGTTAATGGAACTCGATTAATTATCAAAGAAACGTTCGAATTGATTGTTGCTCTAAAAACAATCGATTGGATCAACGAAAGTGACGACATATTTGTCATGATTAACGAGAAAGGGGTTTATTCTTTTGATGATGTTATCGATTACATGGAGAAGATTAAAAAAGATTGGATTGAGTTCAAAACTGTTAATGAAACGAGTAAAGTTTGTCGACTTGCAGCATTAAGGAGATTCAATGTTTACATCAAACAAATGAAGAAATTGTCAATACTTAAATCTGAATTGGAATCAGATTGGATCATTTTAGGAATAAAAAATATCACAAATAGTTTCAATCGAATTGAAAAGTCTTCCTTGTGGATTAGAAAAAGTGCTCATTGGCTCACTTATAAGATTATGCCCAAGCCAACGGTCAATGTTCCTGATGGATTCATCCGGGATGATCCTATTTATGAAGAATTGAATTCGAATCTGCATCAACATGTTTTAATTATTTTAATTCATATTATAAGGTATCTTCATTATCTTAGTTTATCGACTTGGAACAAATTTCAGATTAGAAAACCCGGAAAAGTATGTTATGATTTCATTGATATGTTCTTTGTTATCGAATCTTCAATTGCTTCAGATTTCAATGATGATGAATTACATTCGATATCTTTAGACTTGGCTGATCGTTTATGTTTGGCAAAGATCAAAATTGCAAACGATCGAGATGCATTAGAATATCGACTTTTCCGTTATAAGCCAAAAAAACCTCATAAATTTCCCGAATTACAGAAAATACTGCAAATTAAACATAGCAAGAAATATTCTAAGACATTCTACTATTTCAAAGAAAATTTAGATGAAATTCTCAATGGATTCAATCGTAAAGTTACTAATCGAGGACAAATGATGATCATGGAAAGTGGCATGGAAATGATGAAAAGATCATGGAGAACATTGAAGCTTTTTCGATGAAGCCTATCGGACAGGAGAAGATTTTCTAATGGATTATATCGTTAATCAAGCATCGAATGAGTTTTGTTATGTTATCGAAACTCTTGGCACTTTGTTGGACAATTTTCGACCCAATAGACGAACTCCTTTTAGCTTTAGCGCCGATGGAAAATTCACCAAACAAATTAACGAGATTGGACTTGGAATGAAAAAAGATTTCGAGATGGAGATTAACTCACAAATAGAGAAATTAAAAGCTTCGATCAAAGAAAACGAAGAGAATTTAGAATCGACAAAAGAGGAAAAGATACAATTAAGATACTTAACATCGATAGTCAAACGAAGTAAATTGATTCCAATCAAAGAGATCGAATTGAGTGAAAAAGATGAAATTGAAATATTAAGAGAGATAATCGAAGAGTATGAATACACTTTGATTCTTTATGGACCAATTAATTGATTTTGTAACCCGACAATTTGATACTAGAACAAAATATTCTCTATTCTTATAATTTCCTTTATGTAATCATGCCAATCCGAAGGAGATGAACATAAAATTATCAATTTTACATTGATTTAGTTGAAGATTCTAATGAAAAGCTAATTAATCATCATCTACAGTTAATCATTTGAATATCAAAGAACTGAAAAATTAGTTGCTAATTCACTAGTAACAAATTGCGATTAGCTGATTCATAATACTTTTGCTCCGAGCTTCATCTTTGGCTATCAGGTGAGAAATATTAACCATTAACATCGAAACATTGTGAATTCGAGCTTTAAAGTTAAATCAACAAGTTAATTCTTGTCGAGAGTTATTATTGGATTAAAGCGAAGACATTGAGTGAATCACATTAACAACATTTCGTATCTTCATTTAATTAATGTACATTGTTAATCTTTAATTATCACAGTTAAAAGAAACGGTTTTCACAAAAAGAGTTTAACTTTTAACTGTCAAAAGAAAATCGTCGAGTCTATTCGGTTTCCTTTTCAAACTCAAGACATTCGATTGCAATTTACATAAATGTGAAGAAATGGATGTTGGACTTAATCAACAGGTCCAAAGATACTAATTATCTAATAGAACTTGACTAATACATTGAAAAGCGAAGATATTAATGATCAATTCTAGTCAAATCAATAATAAGAGCCAATTAACAATCGGATTATAAACCAAAGCAAAAACAATTCGTCATTGGTAACTAGAAGCAGCTCAATTTTCCTAATTAATCTGATGCAATGTAAACAATTTATTTCTAATAGACTAAAGTGAATAATTAATAAACTCTTTCGACTTTTTAATAAAAAAGAAATTCTTTCAAAGAATTGACAAAATAATTTCTAACTAAAGGTTGATGAATCTTTAAATTATTTTCTAATCATTTTGATCGTGGATAAAAAAAAGATGAGATTCGTTATGATTTGTAATTGGCAATGAATTGAATGATTTTATTGAGTTGAAATTAAGTGAAAATGAAATATTATGGTGAAGATAAACATGTAAATTGAGAAAATTGAGAATCAATATTTCAACAGATTTGCAATTAATTAGTTATTATTCCAATCCGATCGGGAAAAAGACGGATGCAATTGTGATCATCTTTTCGGGAGATTCAATTTTAGACATAAATTGCCAATGATCAGAATCCACAACATAAGAATAGATTATTTTCGATTCCTTGTTGCAAATTAGAATCAAGTTGTTATGAGAAATCAGCTCGATGTGATCAAGAGAATCGCTTCCGATGAAATCTTTCAGAAACGAATAGTCAAGTGCATACACTTTACTTTTATCATCTCGTAATAAATATCGACTGAAATCACGTTTCGTCAAATAGTACAAGACTTTGTGATAATTTGATTCGCTATTTGGATTTGAAGACAAACATGACAGAGCTTGAGCTGATCCTTTGAGTTCACCAGAGGACAATTCTCGATAATCAAGAGATGGAAGATAATATTGCTTTTGCGATTTCTTAATAAAAGCATCACACTCATCAGATTCCGAAGATCTATGATTACGTCGTTTATCCAGCAAATCATCAAAGTAACTATCATCAAATTCATCAAAATCGTCGTGATTGTTATTTCGATAGCAAATTCCTTCAAACTTTTCATCCAGAGAAATAGCTTCCACATGCGTTATATTGGAACGTTTATGATTAAATTCCGTTGGTGGATTCTTGATCTTTACATAAGTGCTAAGAATATCAAAAAGATAGAGAATAGTTAGATTATGTTAACACTAAGAATCAGTAAATATACTCACGAATCAGTACAAATATCATGAGCGAAATATTTGTAAGCTTGACCATAATAAGAATCGTCACCACCAAACATTTTCAAGTTTCTGAATTTCTTTGAAATCAAATCAACTCGAATACCTTTTCTTCCAGAATCATAGATTATATCGACAATATGGTCAGCCTCAATCAGAGAAGTGGACATTGTCTCATCTCGAGTAAATTGGTAACTTTTTGTCCAATTATTTGATCTTGACAATCGACGGATCTCAATCTTATCTTCACCAAGTTCATAGATTGAGACCAAAGACTTGTAGGAATGTCGATTACTTTTACAATCAGATTGGCAGAATTCGGGTTGACAAGCATGGGGAGAATGTTCTTTCAACTTTTGAGTGATCTCAGAATTTCCGATCCTAAAAAGGACTCTTGTTATCTCTCTTTCTGTCAAATGACAAAAATTGACGAACTTAATGAGTTGAGGAAGATATTTTTTCCGATCTTTTTCATTCGATTTAACCCAACGATCAATAGCTGCAACTATTTGATACTCGTAAGAAACAACCAAATCCATTTTTAAAATTCGTTCAATTAGAGCGACAGGAAACTGCATAAATGCTAATGTGTTGGAAATTGGAACGAAATATTTCCCAATGAAAGATTTCACCTTATCTTCAGTAAAATTTTCCGGGTAATTACGATTCTCATAAAAATCCAAAAACTCGCTCAATCGTTTTATATTGAAATTAGACACGAAACAATCATAATACTTCTGTTTGATATCGTCCATTCCGAGATAATCAGCAATTTCCATCATTGAGAAGGCACTTTCCATGGATATTGATAGATGATTGTTGACGATAAAATCAACAATATTATCAAATGAACTTTCATCAAGATCAAGTTCTATTTTGGTTGTGTCACAATCAGAATCGGCTAATAATTTCACAAAGTAAGGAATCGACGATAACTTTTGTTTAGAAATTTCGTAAGATTTTTTTCTATTCACAATCGTAACATTATCATTTTCTAAAAGGATAAACTGATCTTCCATCTTGAACACTTTAAGAAAACTAACGGTTAAATGAAATTTGTTTTAATGAATCAATTAAAAAGAATTAAGCTTATATATACAAAGAGAAAAGAAAATAATGGCCACTAGGTTCTCTCTTCAACAAAGAGTAATAGCTCACTGATCTTCGCTCCAAACACATTTCGTCATTCCTCAAATGGAAGCGCGTATTTAAAATTAAGAAAATTAAAATTAATAAGAGATTGATTGTGATCTCGATTCATTTGATTTCGACATATAAAAAATATTTTTCATGGAAAAATCTCTAATAGCCTCTGAGAAAAAAGGCCTCAAAGTTTGAACTTTGACCGCGATTATCTCGAAAAGTACTGATCAGGTCGATTTGAAAATAAGTCCAAACTATTTCTTTTTTTAGGCCCTACAAACCCTGAAAGTTTCAACTCTTAACTCAAAACTAAAATTCGGCGACCCTTCTCCTTTGATTAATAATTATTGATTTACAAGCGATTTGTTTCAATTATCCTAGATGATGTTCTAACTAACGGCTTTTTAGGTCCTAGGTGATAATTCATTGGTGAGACCTTTTGTCATCAGATACTTAAAGTCTCGGCGTTTGGGATGTGGATATAATTGAAGCAGAAGCAGCGAGATGTTGTTAATTGGGTTCCACTAATTGTTGAATTATTAAGGTTAGGATTTGGTTCAGAGGAACGTAGATTCCTTGATTCATTTGATTAGCTCTGGTTGATTTAAATAAAATTTCCTCAAAAAGAAGGAAACAGTTTTCAAGATCAGAAAAAAGTTATCAATTTAATTCGTATCAACAAAAAGAAGTTAGTTTTCCTCTCTCAATATGAAATTTCACATGAAACTATCAGTGAATTCAATATAACCGCGTCAATCTCATGTTATCATTTCTCAGCTGATAAATACAATTGACACCAAAGACTCTTTGGCAAAGAGTAGTTCTCTTTGATTGTTGATATATTGACATAAACATTAAATCTGATGAAATATTGATTCTTTGTTTCTAATAGTAATTTTCTTTTGGGTTGTGCACAATTTACACACATTTCAATCTAAATTAATCGTCCAAAGTTTGATTATTTGTTGTAACCTATTAGATTTTCTCAATAATCTGTAAGTTTTTTGTTATTATTTTCCACTAATTACATGATTGTTGGACAAGTGAATTTGAAGCCGATGGACAGTTCATTTCAAATAATTGGAGAAATTTCTAGTACAACGGACTATCAATATCTTTGTGTGTTATTTCAAAATTTGATCAAAGATGTTGAGTTTTATCGTGATCAACTAAATTTGAATGGAAATTCAATTGCTGCTATGAGAGAAACTGATTTCATAAGAAAAAAGATTGAAATTGTGAATGAAACTCTTTCATCATTAAATTTCATCAAAACTCATTTAGAAGAAGCGGTCAATGTGATTGTTCCGATCTCTTATCCCTCTTCGCGTGGACCATCAGATGAATACGCTGATTTTGGTGTTTTGAGTTTATTAACTGAGACGTTGATTGGAAAATTCAAATCATTTACTAGTCGAAAACTAAGAGAATGTATAACCCAATTGGACTCTTTGGATTCTGGTCACAAATCTCCTTATGATTTCTCATCGATTATTGACAAACTGTTGAAGTCTTTGGAAAACAATTCAAATCCCGATTCTCAAATCCAAGTAGAATCATTACTTAAACTTGCTCAAAGTGAATTACAATTCATCAAGCAATCAAAAGATATGAATGAAGGACAATTAACCCTAATCAAATTCTATTGTGATAAACTTAATCTCCTGAACGATGAATTATCATCGGTTGACAAGGAAACAGAAAATAAACCAAAGCAAAAAGCAAAGAAATTACGAGATATCGTTAATGGAACTCGATTAATTATCAAAGAAACGTTTGAATTGATTGTTGCTCTAAAAACAATCGATTGGATCAACGAAAGCGACGAGATATTTGCAATAATTAACGAGAAAGGAGCTGATTCTTTTGATGATGTTATCAATTACATGGAGAAGATTAAAAGAGATTGGATTGAGTTCAAAACTGTTAATGAAACGAGTAAAGTTTGTAGACTTGCAGCATTAAGGAGATTCAATGTTTACATCAAACAAATGAAGAAATTGTCAATGATTAAATCTGAATTGGAATCAGATTGGATCATTTTAGGAATAAAAAATATCACAAATAATTTCAATCGAATTGAAAGATCTTCCTTGTGGGTTAGAAAAAGTGCTCATTGGCTCACTTATAAGAATATGCCCAAGCCAACGGTCAATGTTCCTGATGGATTCATTCGGGATGATCCTATTTATGAGGAATTGAATTCAAATCTACATCAACATGTTTTAATTATTTTAATTCATATTATAAGGTATCTTCATTATCTTAGTTTATCGACTTGGAACAAATTTCAGATTAGAAAACCCGGAAAAGTATGTTATGATTTCATTGATATGTTCTTTGTTATCGAATCTTCAATTGCTTCAGATTTCAATGATGATGAATTACATTCGATATCTTTAGACTTGGCTGATCGTTTATGTTTGGCAAAGATCAAAATTGCAAACGACCGAGATGCATTAGAATATCGACTTTTCCGTTATAAGCCAAAAAAACCTCATAAATTTCCCGAATTACAGAAAATACTGCAAATTAAACATAGCAAGAAATATTCTAAGACATTCTACTATTTCAAAGAAAATTTAGATGAAATTCTCAATGGATTCAATCGTAAAGTTACTAATCGAGGACAAATGATGATCATGGAAAGTGGCATGGAAATGATGAAAAGATCATGGAGAACATTGAAGCTTTTTCGATACGAAGCCTATCGGACAGGAGAAGATTTTCTAATGGATTATATCGTTAATCAAGCATCGAATGAGTTTTGTTATGTTATCGAAACTCTTGGCACTTTGTTGGACAATTTTCGACCCAATAGACGAACTCCTTTTAGCTTTAGCGCCGATGGAAAATTCACCAAACAAATAAACGAGATTGGACTTGGAATGAAAAAAGATTTCGAGATGGAGATTAACTCACAAATAGAGAAATTAAAAGCTACGATCAAAGAAAACGAAGAGAATTTAGAATCGACAAAAGAGGAAAAGATACAATTAAGATACTTAACATCGATAGTCAAACGAAGTAAATTGATTCCAATCAAAGAGATCGAATTGAGTGAAAAAGACGAAATTGAAATATTAAGAGAGATAATTGAAGAGTATGAATACACTTTGATTCTTTATGGACCAATTAATTGATTTTGTAACCCAACAATTTGATACTAGAACAAAATATTTTCTATTCTTATAATTTCCTTTATGTAATCATGCCAATCCGAAGAAGATGAACATAAAATTATCAATTTTACATTGATTTAGTTGAAGATTCTAATGAAAAGCTAATTAATCATCATCTACAGTTAATCATTTGAATATCAAAGAACTGAAAAATTAGTTGCTAATTCACTAGTCACAAATTGCGATTAGCTGATTCACAATACTTTTTCTCCGAGCTTCATCTTTGGCTATCAGGTGAGAAATATTAACATCGGAACATTGTGAATTCGAGCTTTAAAGTTAAGTCAACAAGTTAAATCTTGTCGAGAGTTATTATTGGATGAAAGCGAAGACATTGAGTGAATCACATTAACAACATTTCGTATCTTCATTTAATTAATGTACATTGTTAATCTTTAATTATCACAGTTAAAAGAAACGGTTTTCACAAAAAGAGTTTAACTTACAACTGTCAAAAGAAAATGAACTCCATTTAATGTTTTCTACTCGGTTTCCTTTTCAAACTCAAGACATTCGATTGCAATTTACATAAATGTGAAGAAATAAATGTTTGACTTAATCAACAGGTCCAAAGATACTAATTATCTAATAGAACTTGACTTGTGACTAATACATTGAAAAGCGAAGATATTAAATATCAATTCTAGTCAAATCAATAATAAGAGCCAATTAACAATCGGATTATAAACCAAAGCAAAAACAATTCGTCATTGGTAACTAGAAGCAGCTCAATGTTTCTAATTAATCTGATGCAATGTGAACAATTTATTTCTTATAGACTAAAGTGAATAATTAATAAACTCTTTCGACTTTTTAATAAAAAAGAAGTTCTTTCAAAGAATTGACAAAATAATTTCTAACTAAAGGTTGATGAATCTTTAAATTATTTTCTAATCATTTTGATTGTGGATAAAAAAAAAGATGAGATTCGTTATGATTTGTAATTGGCAATGAATTGAATGATTTTATTGAGTTGAAATTAAGTGAAAATGAAATATTATGGTGAAGATAAACATGTAAATTGAGAAAATTGAGAATCAATATTTCAACAGATTTGCAATTAATTAGTTATTATTCCAATCCGATCGGGAAAAAGACGGATGCAATTGCGATCATCTTTTCGGGAGATTCAATTTTAGACATAAATTGCCAATGATCAGAATCCACCACATAAGAATAGATTATTTTCGATTCCTTGTTGCAAATTAGAATCGAGTTGTTATGAGAAATCAGCTCGATGTGATCAAGAGAATCGCTTCCGATGAAATCTTTCAGAAACGAATAGTCAAGTGCATACACTTTACTTTTATCATCTCGTAATAAATATCGACTGAAATCACGTTTCGTCAAATAGTACAAGACTTTGTGATAATTTGATTCGCTATTTGGATTTGAAGACAAACATGACAGAGCTTGAGCTGATCCTTTGAGTTCACCAGAGGACAATTCTCGATAATCAAGAGATGGAAGATAATATTGCTTTTGTGATTTCTTAATAAAATTATCACACTCATCAGATTCCGAAGATCTATGATTACGTCGTTTATCCAGCAAATCATCAAAATAACTATCATCAAATTCATCAAAATCGTCGTGATTGTTATTTCGATAGCAAATTCCTTCAAACTTTTCATCCAGAGAAATAGCTTCCACATGCGTTATATTGGAACGTTTATGATTAAATTCCGTTGGTGGATTCTTGATCTTTACATAAGTGCTAAGAATATCAAAAAGATAGAGAACAGTTAAATTATGTTATCACTAAGATCAGTAAATATACTCACGAATCAGTACAAATATCATGAGCGAAATATTTGTAAGCTTGACCATAATAAGAATCGTCACCACCAAACATTTTCAAGTATTTGAATTTCTCTGTGTTCCAATCAATTCGAATACCTTTTCTTCCAGAATCATAGATTATATCGACAATATGGTCAGCCTCAATCAGAGAAGTGGACATTGTCTCATCGCGAGTGAATCGGTAACTTTTTGTCCAAATATTTGCTCTTGATAATCGACGGATCTCAATGTTATCTTCACCAAGTTCATAGATTGAGACCAAAGATTTGGTGGAATGTCGATTACTTTTACAATCAGATTGGCAGAATTCGAGTTGACAAGCATGGTGAGAATGATCTTTCAACTGTGGAGTATCGAAAGTGACCCCATAATATTTGACCTTGTTAACGACTTTTTTCATTTCTCTTTCTGTCAAATGACAAAAATTGACGAACTTAATGAGTTGAGGAAGATATTTTTTCCGATCTTTTTCATTCGATTTAACCCAACGTTCAATAGCTTCAACTATTTGATACTCGTAAGAAACAACCAAATTCATTTTCAAAATTCGTTCAATTAGAGCGACAGGAAACTTAAGAAACGCTCTCGTATTGGAAATTGGAACGAAATATTTCCCAATGAAAGATTTCACCTTATTTTCAGTAAAATTTTCAGGGTATTTACGATTCTCATAAAAATCCAAAAACTCTTCTAAACGTTTAATGTTGAAATTTGACACGAAACAATCATAATACTTCTGTTTGATATCTTCCATTCCGAGATAATCAGCAATTTCCATCATTGAGAAGGCACATTCCATGGAAATTGATAAATGATTGTTGAGAACAAAATCAACAATATTATCGAATGAACTTTCATCAAGATCAAGTTTTATTTCGGCCAAGTCACAATTATTAGGATCTGAAAACAGTTTCACAAAGTAAGGAATCGACGATAACTTTTGTTTAGAAATTTCGTAAGATTTTTTTCTATTCACAATCGTAACATTATCATTTTCTAAAAGGATAAACTGATCTTCCATCTTGAGGCTGATTGATGTTAGTTTGAATGATATTGATAGTTAAATAACCTTTTGAAAAAATTAAGCTTTTTATAGATGAAAAGACAAAAGAAAATGATGTCCACTAGGTTTTCTCTCTCAACTCAATACATTTCGTCATCTACCAAATGGAAGCGCGAATTTGAAAATTAAGAAAATCACAATTCGAAATTGTTTTTGATCCATTCGATGCATTTGATTTCGACCTAAATTTGTGGTGAAAAGTTTCACTTGTAATAAAAAGAGTTAATTTAATGTTTAATGTTGAAAATAAATTTAATTGTATTGATTTACAAGCGATTTATTTCAATTATCATGTGCGTTCTAGATGATGGTGATGCTTTTTAGGTCTAAGGTGCTAATACATTGGTAAGAATAATGCTCCTTGATTGTCGATTTAGTTATTTACAATAGTGAGAAACGAAAAGAGAGAGAATTAGATGAAATTATGAATCAAATTAGGAATAGATTGTCAATTGTGAAACTAATCAGATATTGATCATGATCAAATTTCTTTTCAAATTTCACAATTAATTTGCTAATATAATTTGTTGGCCTTTTGTTTGTTTGTTTGTTTCACTTTCAATTATGATTTAGTAACGAAAAGGTTACAATTATCATTTGGTGTTGATTATCATCATTATTTTTACTTTCATTAATCATTGTTGAAATTATGTTTACAGATTAATATTAAGAGCAGAAATCTGAGAGAAACATTTCAATTAGTTGAACAATTAACTCTCGTAATCAGTTGATTAATTGACAATATATATTATATAAAGTTGACATTGACTTTCCATAAACACACTACAACTAAATTACTGTTGATGGGATGAATGGTTAATAATGAGCACAAAGTTAATTGTGATGAATGGCAACGATAAATGATAATACCAATTCGTGTAACAATAATTATCAACAATGATTTACAATTGAAAAGTAAATTGTGATAACGGTTTTTACGAGAAAGTTGAAATAATGATAATAATTAAAAGGAAAATGAATTATATTATTTAAAAGATTGGCATCGATTTTGTTTGAGTGGACAGAGACCTCGACTTGGCGTTTAGGAGGTGAATGAATGAATGAATTTTTGTTTGGATTGATGAACGAATGATGAAAAATGAATTAACAAGATGATGAGACGAATGAATAATCCATAGAGTAGAAAAAAATAGAAAAAAAATTTGCAAAGATGATGTTTAAAAAAAGAAAGAGAGAGAAAGAAAAACGAAGATGATAAAAGGGATGATGATGAAGATTTGACTTGAAAAATTAAAAGGTTGGGCACTTTTCTTCGTGAACATTTCTAATTCTGATGATTAGATTGTGATTTTGTGTTCGAAGCGTGTGAATTTAAGCCCCTCGAGCCTTGGCTGCGGCCGCTGCTGCTTTCGCCTTTGATTTGTATGAATAATCATTGAAAACGGAAAGGTCCATTGATGGTAAATCACGGCATTCAACATAGGGATTTCTAGAGATGAAAAGAGAAATTGATTAGTTCTTAATTGTCTTCGAATTGTTTTGCAATATTATTTGTGAAAATGTTCATAGTAAAGTATGAATTTGGCTCCATGTCTTTTGTTCAAACTTACGAATGATGATCGGGCATAAGAAGAGGATAAAGTTGAATTGTTTGAATATCATCTGTGTTTTCGCACAATAATTTGGCTAATTTAACTTTACGAACTTCATTAAGTTGTTCGAGAGTAAGTGATGATGGCCATCCTGAATTTTCGTACCAAAATCTGTCACCACGACGAAGATTAGCAAACTGTTCACCAATGATACAAGCGAATGTTGGTCCAACCAGTGAACCAGGTGATGGGTATTCAGCTACACCAGCTGACCAAAGGTCAATATCGTCAACGTGTCTATTGGAAATAAGTTGAAGTCGTTTGTTAGTAAAAATTTGATCGTTTCTTGTTAATTTGCAAAACTTACTTGTAAATACTGGCCATTCGGTGGACAGTCTTGTTATCAAAGGTGCCAATAAGATCGTAAAATCCTTTAGCCTTTTTCAATCCACAGAATTCACGGAAAGCGTTATAACCAGGTAATCCAACTTCTCGTCCTCTTTGGATGTTAATTGCAGCTAAATCGTTACCGAAATGTTCACCGGGTTTCTCGAAAAGATGATTAGTTACTTCGGTTGACACTTCTGGGTCCATTCTGTTAGCCTGTTGATTGACCAAACCTAAAATGAACGAATCAAGGTGACCAGGTTTGTAAAGTTCATATGGTTGTTGAAGTAATTGAGACAATCGGATTGATTCAATTTTATCGTGATATTTGTTGTATCTCTCGATAACATCGGGAAGGATTGAGTGACCGAAACGGAAAGCAGCAGCTTGGAAGCCAAGTCTCATTCCTGGATTAATCTTAGAATCATAACCATTGTAGAAATCGTGTTCAGCCAAATCTAATCCATATTTGGACATCTTTTCTCGGCCTAAGACAACGGGTAAGAATTCGTTGAAGGTAATGTGTTGAATTTCAGCGACAATAATTCGTCGGGTCTCTTGGAAAACGGTCTCATCATCCCAATGAGGATTAGCGAAAGCAAGGAAATCAGCGATTCTATTGTGTTCTCTCATAAAAACGGTGTGTAAAGTGGTGATTCCAAGTTGTTCATTGGCACGAGGATCTCCAGCCTCGAAACAGTACAAGTTTCGTGGTCGACCACCTCTTTGACAGCCTTTGTCGGGGTCACTTGTCTTCATGGGAAGTAAATCTTTAAGACCCAATTCCTTGTACATTGGTGTTGTCTTTAGGCGACCACCTTTAAGAGCTCTCAACTTTTGGCTAACCTCTTGTGATGAACCATAGACAAAGTTACCATCCAAAATGGCGGAGATTGAATTAACTTGACCTCTTGGACCCAATGGACAACCAGGCTTAAGACCAGCGACAACTCGAACAAAGTTCATGCAGGTTCGCTTGAAAAACTTGTAGAAAGGATCATCTCGAGGTATTTTAACGGGTAAACATGCTGGATGAGAATCATCTTCACCTTCACAACATTTCAATGGTTCACCAAATTCATTGGTTGGAGTTGCACCTAAGGTCATATCGTGGTCAATTAACTGACCATAAGCCATTAATAAATTGGTAACATATTGATCACGTTCGGAAACATCTTGATGGATAATGAAGGAAACCAAACGTGCTGATGGAAGCTCAGAATCGTCATCAGCTGATCGTCGAGATTCAGAAATACCTGAAAAATGAAATAAACAAAACGATTAACAATTAGTTTGATTTGATTATTTGATCATTTAAATTGTTATTTTTAGTGGTGCAAAGTAATACAAGTGTAACTTTTGGTCAAAGATAACGGTAATAATGATGATGCTAATCATTATATTTATGATTATTGTAATAAAGTCATTACCATTATTATCATCATCATCATCATCATCATCATCATTATACTTTATCAAGATCATTATAATCATCATTATTTAAATCACAATTAGGGTTAATTCAAGTTGAATGTTTTTCATGTTCACAATGATATTGCAACATGAATACATGATTAGTGAGCTAATTGAATTTTTTTTTCTTACTCCAATCCAATTGTTGTACAACAATCAACTAATTATAACAAACTAATCTGAATCTTTAATAGTTTTACCATATGATATAAGAATCAATTGTTTAAACTAAATCAAATTAAGTAGCCACTCGAAATAGTAATTTGTTTCATAATCAATCTTAATCACGGACATGAATAATACATTACATTATCTATTAAATGATTTAATTGTTACAGTTAATTGCTCAGAATGGAACCAATTAAAACAGAAATTAAATTGCTCATCTTTAAATAATTTACCTTTTAACTAATTGTTATAATAATAGAGATAACAATCAAAAACTACAAGCACAAAAAGTCAACAATATAATAACTTTATCGTCTTAATTGTAATTGATTAATGTCACAATTAAGCTATCAAACAGTTGACAGTTAATATTAATTAACTTTCTCGTTATCCATTTACAGTTGATACCATTTTTTTTGCTCGTAGTTGTGTTCACCTTAATGAGCAATGAATGTTAATTGTTTTATTGATAATTAAATAAATCAGTTGATTTTTGAAACTTCCTCTCGACCCAGAAAAACAAACATCAATGTGTATCAATTTCAATAAATGGTCATCTTGGTGACAGTTTTTTTATTTACCATCATCATAATCATAATAATTGATACAATTTAAAGTTAATCAATCTCTCCCTCATCATTACAATCAACTGGGAATCAAATTGAATCAAACGATAACCAAATTGTTTGATTAAGATTTTTTTTTCTTTCTACTAATCAACTGAATATCTTCCTCGTTTCATGATGATAATTATGATGGAAAAAAAAGTTCTTAAATAAATTCTAAAATCATCGTTTGACATTTGACTTGACACCAGTTTCCATAAGAGAATCGAATTTTTTTTCGACCCTCAGGCCAATTTCCGATGACACCATTTTTAAGATTCACTTTTTTCTCCACTTTTTGTTATTTTTTCTCTTCTCTATTATCACAATCAACATTAATTGTTGATTATTGTCACTAAAAAATCGAGACAACTGATTGATTGTAAACAATTGAGATAAATTTCTATCAAGGTTTGATTTTAATTGAATTGATTATCATGAAATTACATCACAAATCTGATAAACAATCAGGAAGAAATATTTAATTCAAATCTATTAATATAATTTTAGATTAACATTTAATTGTTATTGTTTGAATTGTGGTCAATGGTCAAGAATGAAATTACTTTAGGTCAGTTTTATGTCTCATCTTGTTTTCTGCTTAATGATTATCATCATCATAATTATCATTCACTGAATGAAGAATCAAATATTTCCATATTGTTATTAATTTCCTCATCACAATCAACTAATTAACTGGAATAAACAATCTACCTGTCTGATGATTATTCAAATGAATACATTTATTGACTCTGATGTTTCATATTCATAATTCATATTTCGTCCAGTTAGAACTTTTTTTTTCTTCATTCTTTTATTTAACATTATCGTTCCAACGAAAAGGTCACATGACCTAAAGAGATGAAGGAGTAACGATTAACTTTTTTATATTAGATTAGAACTTTTTTTTCTCTCTTTCAATTGTATGGAAATTAGATCAACCTATTGTTTTAGCAGAAAACTTTTTCTTTTCAATTTAATTAACTTGTTTTGATTAATGTCTTAATGATGATAATGATAAACGAGGTAAAAACAGTTAGAAAGCTATTACAATCTAATCATTTGTCTTAATAAGCAAATTTGACTATTTAAAACATCAATGAGGTTTTAATGTTCACCAATCACAATGACAATTAAAACATAATCATCACCTTATCATCACGATTATAATCATCAAATAATCATAATTAACACCTTCAAGTGTCAAACGAATATTGAAAACCAAATGACCGGGAAAAGTGAGAGTAAAAAAGAAAAGTAAAAGTGACGATTTGATGTATCATTTACAACAATTAATCTTAATCGTTTTGTTAATTATATGAATTAACTTCAAATTGATTCAGTTAATTGTTTACAAGCCCTTTAACTAACCTCTATTTCTACCTGTTACTTACCTTTGTGATAATTTGATGAATAGAATTGAAAGAATGAGGATGTTGATAAATTGGACAAATCAAAGGTAAGAAAGTGAAAGAGAACAATTTAAATTATCAATTATTATTAATAAGAATAATAATAACGACAAAGGCCTGAGAGGAGAAGATGCCGCAAGGTAGATGGCACAGATTCGAGATTGGGAATAACCGTTAAGAAGTAAATGATGAGGAGATGATGGAAAGAAACAAAAAATTAATTCTCTTTTTTAAAACAAAAAGAAATTCAATTTAAATTGACCATCATCTTCTTCTAATAATGGCGACCTAAATAGTACCTGTCCATCTTCATCATCCCATGAAGATCTGAGAACGATGAGAAAACACTGTGATCACCATGTGAACGGAATAAAGGTCAAAAATTTTTCTCCCGTTTGTTTGTTGTTTCTAAAATTTGGAATTTATAGAATTCGATGATCATAATTAACTAATCATGAATCTAAATGGTTATTTACTTTCCTTGCTATTGGATTCTCTTTGATTCACCTTAATTAACAATCAATAGTATAACATTAATTAGCTACGTTGATTGTAAAGAAGAGCAAAAGTAAAAAAAAAATGAAAATACTCTTTGCCCTGAGGGCAGAGAAATCATTTAATCAATGATTGATTTAATTATTATTACAAAATCATCATAAAGTTAACATTATTTTCACTAACAAGAATGTGAGTTGATATTAACTGCGACAATTGTTACTTATCAATAGGAAAAAGTGATCGAGTTAATTAAATAATAAGTTAAACAAGTGATTAAAATTGTGTTAATTTAGTGACTCAATTAAATTACAATTTAAATCGGAAATTAAATGTTGATTCAATCAGATTTCATCTTCATATTGACCAGTGATGAGCAGTAAATGATTCGTATTGACCTCAACTCTTTCAGCCATTTAAAAAAAAACCTTTTAATGTGATTTGATTATTAATCACATTCACACACACACAATTTAATGTCGATGATTTTGTGATTAAGCAATAAATCAACAATTAAGAAAAAGAAAGTTGATAAAAATCGTCATTAACACGATAGAAATCAGTTGATTAATCTCAAATTAAATCTGATTCGTTAATCTTAAATCATTAAGGAAAATTGTATCCACACAAAGTGATACAAATAATTAAAAAGGCCTGAAAGCTAAAGTCCAAATTGCTTAATTGTAACACAAATCAAATTAAGGAAAAACAAAAATATAAACAGTTAAGCCTAAACAATTTATTATTAAATCAACAAACATCATCTTCCTCTCTCTCTCCCAAACAATCATCACAATTAGCAAACTAAATTAGATACTCAAGTAATTAACTAAAATGAAAAAATCTTTCAACACAATTAAATCACTTTGAATGTTTGACAATTTATTATTATCAACAATTTAAATCTTCTGGGCATTTTCATCATTTCATGTAATAGTTACATCATCATGTTGATTGTTCATTTGTTTCAATTGGAACTTTTTCCTCTGTGAGAGCCTTTAATTATCTCCCTTCTCATTGTCACCTAATTTCATCTTCATTTATCTTCCTCTTTATCACCATCTCCTATTTTTACTCCTTTACTTTCTCTCTCTCTCCCTCTCCCTCTTTCATTCATTGATGAGATGATAATAGTAACGTAACGGTTTAAGTTGTAACGTTACGATTCATAGTGGAAAGTTAATCTCGACAAAAAAGAGACAATGAACAATTTAAAACAATAATGAAAAGAAAACAAAATTTGATGTAAATAAAAACAATTGATGACAAAAACAAAAGGGAACGTGTTTCACTTTATCAAATTATAATTAAGTTAATTAATAGCTGGTTGGATAATTAGTCAACAGCTTAAGATTTTAAAGAGAGGAAATTATCTTGTTGATGATAATGATGATGTTTAATGTCACCAAATTAAAAATGATATAAATAAAATTGAATGTATTAGCTGGTTAAATAGACGTTGAAACAGGTAAACAAATAACGGTAAAAAAGACAAGTGAAAGAAGAAAAAACTTTTCTCAATTGAGAGAGAGAGAAAGAGAGAGAGAGAACGAGAGATAACTGTAACAATCAAATAAAAGGTAAATGATAATGATTATGATTATGATGATAATTTAGGCATGATGATGATAATGATGATAAATTGATGTAGTGAAAGTGAGCTGGTTTTTTTCTTTAGGTTAAAATAAATTACGATTCAGTACAATAACTGCTAATCCCCTTTAGGGCTTCAACAGTTTCGATGTGATTGCATCTTGGTTTACCTTATCAATAGTATATATCTTGATGATGATGATGATAATGATGATGGAGAGGATGAGGGGGTAGTGGTTGTGGTGGAAGATGATTATTTAAATGAGAAAAGATGAAAACTTACCATCGGCATAAGCGGGAGGTAAAAATCTGACCATTGCTGAACGAGCTGATCCCCATGATGGATAATCCAAATTATTACACATTCCGGTTAATGTACGATATTTACTGATTTCACATTTAACGGGCTTTAAGAAAGAGGGACAAATGTCTCGGACGGCAGTTCGATAGGTATCGATACGAGGTAAACCGAAAAGAATTGTCTCTCTTGAAAGGTCATACCAATTGGCCAATATTCTGGTCGCTTCTAATATAATCTCAGCTGAGACGGAGATATGAGTCTCTTTGGGTGAATCTGAAGATAATTCCTTAATCTCTTCGGGAACATAACTACCCAAACGGGTTTTGGCCTCGTGAACGGCACGATTAACATCTTCATATGTTATACAAATTTGACCTTCTCCTGGATAATATGTAGATCGTTTTAATCTAAAAATGGATTAATAAAGAAACAGATAAATAAGAAACAGATTAGAACAGTTAAAACTTTTTTTCTCTCAACATCTTAATTGTTGCGATTGATTAACTTAAATGATTTGATAATTGTATCAATTACTATTGAGATTAATTTGTAATCAACTCCAATCAACCAAATTAAATGGCTTGAAAACTGATCATTAGATTATGGAAATGTATTAATTGTAAATAGTACAATTAAAATATTTTCATCATTAATCATGAGTTTGCTGTTTCAATTGAATTAGATTGTCGTTAATTTAAGTAATCGTAATGATTAACTTTGTTTTTTAATCTTCTTCCTCAACTAAAAGACCACTTTAAATCCGATTAATTATAATAATTGATCAACTTTTTCAAGGAGTTAATTACATATCCGGTAAATTATGTTACACTTTTTGATTTTTTTTTGTCTTAATCTGTTTGTAAATTATGTTAACGATTTACTAAATCATTTAATCTAATAACAATTACTAATGATGATTAATATACATTATCATTCATATTTTGTTATTAGAAACATGTAATTGCAATGAAATCATGTTATCCGAAAACTTTATCAAACTAAATTAAAGTTAATTGTCAAGTGAAAATTGGTATTGTAAAAATATTTAATGTTTATAATTAACCGGTTAAACTTTACTATTTGTTGTGTAATTAAAATCATATACTACATTGCTAACTTAATTAAACTGATTTAAAAGTTGACCCAAAGGTTAATTAAACAATTAGATTTACAATACAATGAATCAGATCAAATCTAATCATCGATATCATTAGATTGCAATCAATATATTTATGGCCAAAAGCCAAAGGTTTTAATGAGAACTAATTTTTTTCTCATTCATCTATTGTCGATTGAAGTGATTAAAACACAATCAACTAATTGTAATCTTTTACAACAATAATGCTGATCAATGAGAAATCAATTTGTTGATTTTTACAATTGTTACAATTTAAACCAACATTAAATTGCTTTCGTCTGATCGACAATTAAGAAAAGGAAAAAAAAATGATAACAAATCTTACGGGAAGATAATCAACTGATCTCATTGTCAAGTTCATGTTGACAATAAATAACAACCAAGATAGTTAATTAGTCGGACAATTAGTCAATTTAGAGCAGCATGAGCATAAGCAACATGAATGGTTTACAATTAACTAATTGTTAGGAATAATAATGAAAAGTTGTAGCATCACTTTTTTGTCCTCTAACTAAAACATTGACGACAATTAAGCCTTTTGATATTAATCATTGTTACAATTTCATTCTTAATAATTTAGTTAATTGTATATTGAGATGATGATGATGATTATCTGTTAACAGATAAAGTGTTGAGATTTTAACCCTGAACTTGGTGAAGATGCAAAAATTTGGCAGAAAAATTTCCGGGTAAAGAATCAAGAAAAAAGAGACAACTAATGATTAAGGTTTGCGTTTTTGTAGCAATTTAAATTGTTGCTTAATTGTGACAAAGTCTGACAAACAAAATTACAGTAATTTACTTAGCATGGATTGGAAATGCATGTAACTGCAATTGATTTAAATTAGTCTTGATTGCTGTGTACGTTGTTAAGCTTATTTTATTAACGGGATAAAAAAAAAGTTATGTTTCAATGTTGATTGTTAATTGTGTTGATTTAATCAAATCAATTGTAATTTAATGACTAATTAATCAATTAGTTTGTATCAATTGTGTTGGTGTTAAGTGTGTGTGTGTGTATTTTTTGTGCTACAATTAAATGATTTTACCGTTAAATGTTAGACAGCTAAGGCACTTAATTGTTAAATTAATTATCGATCACAATTGATTATCTGGGATTGATTCCAATTGGTGATCATGATAATAGACACAAAATGAGATTATCTCAAGCAAAGTTGATTATCTTATTAATAAGAGGTGATGGATTAACTGATTAATTGAGATTTGGATTGTCATATTAGCACGAATCAATAAGACTGTTGGTGATTTAAATTTAGTTGATTATTTTTTTTCCTAATTTTCTAAAATTGTCAACTAATTGTTAACAATCAATTTGATAGACAAAAATCATTTGTATAATCTTGAGAGAGCTAAAAGAAACTAAAACTTTTCTCTTCCAAATAATAGTAACTAAAAAACGGTGATTCTTTTGCTTCTGCTGCACCCCAATGGTTTGCAACTCGATATTTGAACGCAATTATTGAGTTCTAATCATAATCTATCGTGTATTAATGTAATGATGAAAAGTTGATTAGAGTTAATTGTTACTGCAATTTGATTGTTTACGATAAGAATAGTAAATTTAAATGTGAATGAATGAGAATCGGCAAAAGTCATGATAATGAATTTGAAAAGAAACAAAAATTCTGTGAGAAGAAATGAAATAGTAGGAAAATCTCATGGAAACGAAAGGCCAAACCCTGAATTCTGAGACACAATCAAAGGTGAGAAAACAATTGGTACCATTTAGTTAAGACCTTTAAATGTCAGATCTAAATCGTGGTGTTGATTGCACTCGAATGTGTGTCATGTTTTATAATAAGCTGAAGATTATATTGCATAACATATGATAAAGTGATGGAGGATGAAGAAGACAGATAATGAAGAGAGAGAGAGAGAGAGAGAGAGAGAGCCATTGTTTTTGACCATTAGGACGAAAAGAGATGCGAATAAAATAAAAGACAATATTAGATTCATTTATCTGATTAGTTTTCATAGTTGATTAACTGAATAACCTCAAATAGGAGGGAACATGTTTTCATACCTTATAACTGGTTCATTCAACAAAAACAACATGAAAGATCATCATGATGAGCCTGAACAAAAATGAGGTAAAAAAATTGAGCAACAGAAACATGAGAGAAATTAAGAAGATAGAGAGAGAGACATCAGGATGAGCATGATGATGATCTGAACTCAGAATGAAAAGTTCAGATTAACCCAGAAATATTTATATATCTTCTTGATTCCTTGGGAAAACTGTCGTTTATCATGTTGATCATATTTTATGTCTCATTCCATTAATGAAATCATATTCTCATTCAGCATCACTATCAATAAACTTGACAATCCTGATGATTGTTTTAGAGGTTAATTATTAATAATATCACAACGGATTTGAAGATAAACAATTTAATCTCATCGATAATGATCAATGAACAATTATAAATCTTATTATCAATAATACTAATCGTCAATATTTCGTTGGGCGATATTTTATCATTAATTTCATTTCTTTTTTTCATAAATCCTCTTGATCCAATTTTTGGCTAATCATTGATCATTTAACCATCAATTCAACAATTTATTTGTAATTTCCTACCTGTTGAACTATATATATTTCCTTCCTCATCATTATCTTCATCAATTTGATTCTTCATATTATTTTTTTTCCTTTCCTCATCATCTTCATCCTTAAATCAATCCCGATCTCATATTATCAGATTGATTTTCATTTCAACTACTGACCATCCAATCACCATTATCATCATCATCATCACGATTAAAGAACGGAATCTGAATCAACTTTCACTTAATAATAACATATCATAACAATCAAAACGTTAACTGTTAACAATCAGTGAACGAACAAATTTTACGATTCACTTTTGGTTTTTTGTTTCAAAGATCACGACAAACAAACAATCAATAAACCACCAACAATTTAAATTATTAATCCAAATTATGAGCTAGTTTCACTGCTTTGAATTGAAAAGTGTCACTTAAATGGATTGGACAATTAGCAAAATAAAAAGTGATCATCATGATAAAGTCAATCAGAATGAACATCAACTTATCTGTAACAATCTAATTCATCATCATCATTTATTATTATTAATTGATAACGTTTCCTGTTCAATTAACTGGAGCCATCAAAAATTAGTCTATTGGTAATCGAGAAAACTTTTTGTACAGATCGACTCAATTGTTGAGACCATTTTTACAGAAATGAAGAAAAAAACTTCATGAAAACTCATCGATAAAACTTTTTCAAAGTAAGAAAATTTTTCTTGAATTTGTTTTTTTTTCTGTTCTTTCGCCTTCTTACCAAACTGTTTGAAAGTTTGTCTTTTTTTGGATACCTGAACTTTTTTCTCGAGCTGAAGTGCGAGAAAAAGTTCAGGTATCGTTTGAACCGCCACACCGGACGTGATTGACAGGCTCACCCCTTCGAGATAAATATACATACAATTATATAATTTGCGAAAATCAAATTATATCTTTTTACCTTCTACTACTTTTACTATTCATCCTCTTCCTTCATTCATCCATTTCTCTTTCTCTTTCTCTCTTTCTCATCATCATCATCATCATCCTTGTTTATATTCAGCTTTGCATAGCTAATTAATCCTTTAACTTAAATTTCCAATCAATTGAACACTGAAACTTTTAAATGTTTCAATCAAAATTTTTTTAGACAAAAAACAAAACCAATAAACTGGACTTATAGTTAATCATGTTGATCATCATGATATAATGTTAAGATTATTATTTACAGACCGGGATGAGGATGCTGAGCTTAGCATGATAAAGAAATGAATAAAAAAGTAATAAGAATAAAAAATTACCCAGAATTAACCATTTACTATCCAACTTAATCTTATTAGAACTTTTTTTTCTTCTTCTTTTTTATCATTTAAATGAAAAATTTTCTCTCCAATAGTTGAGGTTACTGGTTCACTCTCACATGTAATTCATGATTCCAATCATGATAATGATTCTGAATCGTAATCGGGAATAGAGATATTGAGGAACTGATTATTGTTGAGAATGATTCTTGACACATTCTCAATAAATGATGAGCAATGATTAAGGATAAAAATGATTAGTAAGATAAACAGATGAACTCGACGACAGTTTTTCGCTCATCGAATGTATATAAAAAAAACTGGTTATATTTTCGATGCTAGCGGACTAAACACTTTCGATAAACCATTTTCGAAGATCATGTTTGGTAACCTGGTTTTCGAAGATGGTGATGCTCATCATCATCATCGTCTTCTTGTTCATCTTCATGAGAAAATCAATAAACAGAAAAAACCACTCAAACTTTTATCTCTTTTTTATATTATATTTCTCACCTTAAACTTTACCCACAGAATTGGGATCCACTTTTCATCATGTTTCTCATCAATTTGGAGATTTGAACTTTTTTATCAATTAAAAATTCTAATCATTTTATATAATTCAATCGAACTTTTAATAAATAGTAAGTTAATTCTGTCTGATTCTAATTAACTAATTGTTTTTTATGATGATTAAATCATTAGAAAAATAATCGAACATTATTATTAATAATAATCAGCGAACGACAGATTCACCTTAATCAAGTTTTCTGAACTGATTTTCTACCTTTTTTTTTCTTGCTTGATTTCTAATGAGTTCTAATTGTGACCTTTTTAATTTACAATTAAACTCGATCAAATATATATTTATATTTATAGCTAATTTAGAATCAAATATTATTATATAAATGGTAAAAGTGGCTCATCAACAGCCTCAAGAAAGTAATTCTGTTTTAGAATCAAATCAACAGGTAATAGAGACCGAATTGAGCCTTAAATTAACGCAAATTTATATTTAGTGTTTATCTTCATCTTCATCTGTATCTTAATCATTAACAACATCATCATCATCATCATAATCAATTTTTTATCTTCATCATGGTTTATGTATCTATCTAGATCAGACATACACTCACACACAATTAATTGAATACATGTTGTTTGTATTAATAATTGATAGCACGAAACTTACCTTGGAACATAATCTGAGATGTAATTAAGTCCAGGGGACATTTTGATTGGCTCATGATCGGGCGGTTGATGGTCAGAGGCATAAGGTTTACTCCTTGATACAATTAATGCACATTCTGGTGAATATTCAGAGCCATAACTTGGTTCTGATGAAAAGACTGGAGAGGAAAAAGGAAAAGGAAATCGAAATGATTAGATCAAACAAAATCGAAAATATTAATAATCAATTGCAGAGTTTCATCTAATATTTAGACGGAAAATCTTCATCATTTTCGTAGAACGAACAAATTTTCAAAGATAATGTTCGAACTGCAATGTTCAAAATTATCTTCGAATCTAAGTTAAGGATAGATCCACGATAAGTGAGAAGAGAGTTGAGCATTTCTAGCAAAATGAACTATGTATTACTAGAGATATTAAGTAATTAAGAGTATTAAGAGAAACTATTGGTCTATGAAAACGTTTGGACAAAGATCGAAAAATCAACTTACCGGTTGAGAGTTGGATCAATAAAACGATCACTTTGATGGAATACATTTGAACGAACTGATGTTTCTACCCAGAGAGATAGAAGAATATGAAGAATTAAAATGAATAACAATTGTATTTAGAAACAATTAACACAGTTGAACACAAGAATTAACTTATATAAGATGATGACGAGAAGTGAAGAATTAACAATTTATCCTGATGCTGATATTCCGATGCTTCTCATCTGAATGCTGTTCAATGGTAAAAGTCACTCACTAAAACAGAAACTTAAGCTTACAACTTTTTACTATTTCTTTTTTTCTCTCCTTCTTTTTACTTCTTCCCTCCCATTTACCTTTCTTCTGATCTCTCTCTCTCTCTCTCTCTTTCTCTCTCTCTTTCTCTCTCTTATCTTCCTTCCAACTATTATTCATCCAATATCATCATCATCATCAAAATCACTATCATCATGAAGTAATTTTTTAAACACAAACAAACAAACAAATAGATCAACAGTTATTATCAGTTACCGTTATTGCAAATTTAATTACAATTAACTTGAACAGCTAATTAATCTGGTAAAAAAAGATTACAAATTGATTATCATTTATCCGAATAGGGTGGTGATGATAATGATGATTAAGGTAGGATTATGATGGACGATCATTATCAATTGATGAAAAGTAAAAATAATTACCCAAAGAAAGTTAATTAACTTTGATTTAGAGGAAAATAGTAACTATTAATATTAATCAGAAGAAAAAAGTTTTATTAGTAGATTATCAATATTTACAGAAATTGTAAAAGTTTCACATGACCATTATTCATGAGATGGACCATGAAATCGTGTGGTCCAATAATTCAGGGGGATCCATAAACAGGTAGGTTACCCAAATGGTTCAATCACCAAAGGCAATACCTTGTCAGGTAAAAATTGCTCGGGGTATTTGGGATTGTGATTTAACTGGAAAAGTCTCAAAATAATTACTATTGATATCCTTGTGTGTTAACACTTTTAATTGTTATGATTTAACTAATTGTTTATTACTTGTTTTAATTGTTAACTTTCACCTTGAAATGTGAATTGTTGATTGTTGATTGTTGTTTGTGATTTCCAACCAATGGTCAATGCTGAGACTCGCCTTCATGGCAATCGAAATGACCATAACAATTTTTTCTTATTCTAAGCCAATCGAAAGTAAAATAATTACAGTTTCAGTTAATCTAATTTATCAGAAAGAAATTAACTAATGATAATGAGAGTGTATTATCATGATTAGCAGTTTAATGATCGATAAAAGATGATATTTAATTGATATTACCGATTTTTGATGTAATTCGACTGCTAAAAGGTATGAAATGTTAACAATTTAGAACCAAATTAGAACCGACAAGTTACAATTTCGGACTCGAATATTGTTTTATTATCATCATCTAATCACCGTAAACATATATATTTATATGATGCAAGTTTAATTATTTATTTAGTTTTCTGATTAAAATCTAAATCTCATCTCGATCCCTTTTCACTTTTTTTTAATATGATAATAATATTAACGGTAAAATAAGATGAAAAATCATCATCATCTTCATCAAATCATCTTTGATTCATATCAAAACAATCAGGTTTTAATTACCCGGGAGGATTATTAGAAAGTAGTATCATCATCACCAACAATCAACAATTATTAGGGTATTCCGATAAGTTGAATACTCTAACCATGTATACAAACTAGATGGATCGATTTTATCGTTAACTCGATTAACATAAATTATTGCCTGAGGCATAGAGAATCAAGATGGTGATCGATTTTGACACATAATTAGGTCAAAAAAACGCCTTATCTAGTCAGGAACATGGTTAGGAAACGGATATAGCAAATATCTTCAATAATTGTAACATTATTTCAGTTTCATCTCAGGTGAGGACAAAAAAAATCATGGAGAAAATTATCTGAAACTTTAATTGCTGTTGATTGTAATCAGATGACATGTTGAACATTTTGGATCCTCATCATATCAGAAACCAGAATCAACAACAACAACATCAGAAAATCAAATAACAATTAACTGAACAGCTAATTAATGGATATGAGAAGAGGAAAAAAAAAAGTTTACTTTTGGTGATAATTCAATCAGATTAAGGCGATGATGGTGATGATGATTAAGGTGGGATGATGATGGACGATTATCATCAATTGATGAAAAGTAAAAATAATTGGTCAAGATAATTAATATAAGTGTTATTTATAATTAAACATTAAGAGTAAATGATTAAAAAAAGGTTATCAATATGTTGATGATTGTTGAGCTACTTTCCAAACAATTAACTGATCATCAGATCGCTGTTGAAACCATAATCAGTTAATTAGTTGATAGTAAAAAAACAACATAATTTAATCATTTTTACAATTAAATTGTTAATGATTTAATTTTCTGCTTCTCATCATCTTTTCTTTCATTTTTTGATCTCTCATCTTCTTCTTTAATTGTAACAATTAACTTGCCAATCAAATTTTGATCATTTTCCTGGACAATATCAATCTGATTTTGATTTAATTGTTAACAAAGTGATTGAAATTGTTTCCTTGATTGTATTTTGTGTCTCTCTCATTACCAATAACAACAATTATTGATAAACCATTTTTAATTGTTGTGATATTGATTGATTTTGATTATCATGTTGATTAACTTCCTGATTAAATTGTGATCATGAATGATTACAATTAAAATCCAATGGATACTAAATGTAATTGTGTTGCATCATTGACAAAAAAGAGCACGAATTACATTAAACTATCCTTGATTTACTAAATTAAATTATTCTTATTACAATTAATTAAACAAGAAAACAAAAAGAAAATTAAAAATCAATGACCATCGATAAAATTTTTCTTTATTCTAATTAACGATTAATCCTTGATTGGTTTTGGGTTCTCACTGATTAATTGTTGTTAATTACACAGCCAACGATTATCCCTGAACAATTGGTTAATTACTGTGATCAATTTGTTTTATATCGATAACTAATTATCCTTGATTGTTTACCGTTGATTAAAAAATTACCATTCAAATTTAGTTTAAAATTAATAAAAAGGGAACAATTTTAATTACTTTGTGTTTTAAATCAGCAAAATTAATTATATTTAATTGCTAGGAAATTTGTATCAATAACAAAGTAACCACAGTGGTAATTAATTGATGATAACAATCAATGAACAATCAATAAGAGGTCATGTTAAAAAAACAACAACAATTAGTGAAAAAAAATGCAAATATTACAATTTGATTTGATTTGATTTGATTTGATTTGTATTAGCTGTTGACACTTGATTTTCAATCAATTTTTGACGCAACTAAATTAAATTGTTATCATCACAATCATAACAATTAAAATTCCTGATAAGGATATCGTGTTGATAGGAAATAATTAATATAATCTGAACGCCTTCAAGTTTTACTAAATGAAAACAGTTCGGTAAAAAGTTAAGTGTGATTACATTGATTTAAATTATTCAATACATTTCATCATAACAATTTAAACTTGATCAATGATCAGTAGGTTGATTGATCATTAAATCAAACAAAATAATCACAATAATAATCAGCAAGTATCAAGATGATGATCAACAACAAGGTGTATAAGCTTATTGGTGATATAATAAAAAGTCAGAAATTAAGAAACAAAAATGTTGACCATCAACATCAATCCAGTAATCAAGTTAATCATCATTTTCTGTTGATGAATAATTAAAATAATTTTTGGAAAATCAGATCGGAAGCTTGAAGAGTGAAAGTTTCGAGCAATAAAAATGATAATTTTGGGCCCACCTTGAGAGTTGGTGTTTTCTTTTCCTGGATTTCCTGAACTCGATGTGTAGACAAGAGAGATGAGGCCAAATTCAGGCCTTCATCTTGTTTTCATCTCCATCATCGTCATCATTATCATCCTGCTCTTAATCTTTTCGTTAATTCAATAAAGAGAGAGAGAGAGAGCGAATGATGAGAAATAAAAGTGACCATGATGAAAATCATGTTACCATACAACTTTCAAGGACTTTTTATCAAAGTTTCACGAAAAAGTGGCCTTTTAGATGAAGAAAGGGAAAGCAAGAGAGAGAGAGAGAGAGAGAGAGAGAGAGAGAGAGAGAGAGAGAGAGATAAACTCAGGTCAAAGTTGACTTCCCTTTAAGGCTCAATTAAGTTAGCATCATGTTCATTGATTGGCTCACCTTTGGGTAAGTACAGTTGTATTTGTGATTACAGTTATTATTATCACTGTAATTACTGTTAATTTCTGTTAACCATTTATAATTATCTCTAAATTGTTGCCCAACGATTAAGTAAACAAATAAATCAACATGTTGTTTTGTTTGGGTTTTTTTTCACCAGAAATCTTATCAACTAGAAGGGTCATAGGGTCAGCGTGATAAAGTCTTGGTCACTTTCACTGAGAATTCACCTTTTCTTTTCTTGGACATTTGATTTGACCACAAAGGGTGTCAATTGACCAATCAATCAAACTTTTCGCAATCAAATCGTTTTTTTCGCGGAAAAATTGAACAAATTTTTTGCTCAAAAAATGTGAATTGTTGTAGATTAGAATCAATAATCATTAATCCAATCTTTAAATTGGTCAACAATTAACCTCAAAATTAAGTGATTAAATATCTTGATACATATTTACCTGTACAATTGTTGTTTAAAATACAATGAAATCAAATTAGATCTAGAATAATAATCAAATCAAATATATATATGAGAAAACATTGCTTCTTAATCATCACCAACAATCAACTTTTAATTTCATTCAATTGTACAATCAAACCATGTTTTATTTTGTGTACAATTAAACAATTGATTAACAAAACAAACCCTATGAGTTATACAATAGGGTCAATTCATTCACTTGCTTTAATTGTAAATGATTAAATCTAATTGCGGAATCAGTAAACTTTTTTTCCCCTAAATTGTCATCAATCTTAAGGCACTTAACTGGATTAACAATATAATGAAAAAAGTAAACTTTTATTTAACAGATTAGTTCAATTTAATTATAATTGTTACTTTGATTAAATCATTTATTAAATTGATAGTGTTAATCAAGATGATGATTAAGATGATTAAATTGTTTGATTATTATTAAAATTAAGTATTATAACATAAATTGGACTTGACCTTTAATTTCATTGTTATATTGTTAGTTAATTGTTCTTGATTTAGTTACTAATATTGTTCAATTTTGTTAATTTAGTTTAAATTCTTGTACCTTTTATTGTTTGATTAACACACATACAAATATATTGATAACTTAATTGTGATCAGGAAAAAAAAAAGCTAATCAGACTGACCAATTTGATTGTGAATATAATTAAGATTAATCACAATTTATATACACACACAAAGGACCCAAAACTGATTAACAATTTAATCGTGAATATCAATATTAATTATGAGACCAATTTGAAGAGCAAGTTGAAATCTAATTTAATTTTTTCTTTCACAATTAAGGTTAATTTCTGATATGATTAAGTACAATTAAGAGACTTGTTAAGTTTGGAGTTGAAATGAGCAGAAATTTGAGTTTGAAAAAAAAGTAATGATGAAATTAATCCAATTAATTAGATTAATCATCGGGAATTAACTCAAAATCAACGTTGATCAACGTTGACAATTATCTGTTAAATTGTTGGTTAAATAAGTCACGATTTAAATGATGATTATGAAAAACAAAAAGTTTTATTCACTTCTAATAATGTAAATCAGTTAATCTGGTTCAAGATTAATTATGAGATTAGGTGATTATTTTGGTTGATTAGTTGATGGTTAATCATGAGAAGTACTTAATCTAAATCAAATGACTGAATATGAGATAATAAAAATTAATTGCTCACAAAATTGAATCCAAGCTTCATTATTAATAAATAGATTTAAACAGATACTGATAACAATTAATTAATTGTTAGTCTCCAAAACATTCAGATATAATACTGAATATTAATATTACAAAAAGTTAAGTTTACTAATTGTTTACTTAATCGTTTCCTGATTTATCAAATTTCACCAAAATCAATAGTCTCTTTTAACCAAATCAAAAATTATTGATAAATCACACAATTAATACTTGATCACAAACCATTAATCAATAATCTTGATAACTGGATTAACTAACCTTCAAGCAGGAATCAAGAAAATATAATAATCATAATCATAATTAATAGTTTAATTGGCAAGGTTAGTCAGTGAAATAATATCAATGTTCAATTATATTCAATACAATCAATCATTATCATCACTTGCATTTCTTTTAATATCATTAATCAAACAATTAAAGCAGCAATTAAATTGATTTCAATTTGGAATCAAATTTAAACAAAAACTTTACAGCTCCAACTGTCGCCATCTATAGTTAACATTTGAAACTTTTATCGTTCAAAAAAGTTAATCAAACTTTTTGATTTAATTTAATTATCTTATTATCAATATTTTAAATGAATGATGAAATGAAATTATCAATAAAATAAACTGTTAAATTGAATTTAAAATATTTATGATTAGGTGATTTAATTATGTAATTAATTTGGAGTAAATTTTCAATTCATTCATTGATAATAAAAGGTAATGACTATTAATAGACTTTAAATTGTAATTAAAATAATTTTGTTTATATGATTAATTAATTATCCATTTCAAATGATGGATTAATAAAACTATGGGAACTTGTTTGTTCAGTGGAAGTGTTAATTTTGAGATTGTTGTTTGATTGTTGAAGATCAACTTTTTCCGATTGTTGTTGTTGTTGTTGTTGCTGCTGATTGGGACTAATTGGATTAGGATTAGATAAAGATGATAAATCATTTGATGAATCGATTGCAGCAAATGATTGGGAGGCTGAGTTTGCCAAGGGAGGAAATGGAAATGATTTAGATGAAATGTTTGATGAGCCTCGATCCATTTGCGATGCTTTTAGTGCAGATAAATACAATTTCCGGGTTATCTTAAGGTAAGTTGTTGTTTGAACGATTTCAACAGTATAATCAGGTTTGTAGATAAAGTTTGATTCCAATGTTAATTCTGGATTAACGATCGTTAAATTGGTTGATGATGTTTGGGTTGGAATCGTAGTGGCAGTGATATTGGTTAATCCGGATGGTGAAGTCGCTGTTATTACAGTTGGTGTTACATTCATTGTTCCTGTATTGGTGTTACCTGTTGGTGTTGATGGAGGTAATACTTTGAGGGTATCAACACCGAAAGAGGTGAAAGGTCCACCATAAAAAGTTAATTGCTCTTTACCCGCTGTAACCTGAACTCGACCTTCAAGTATCATGACGAAATAATCGGCTGGTTTATCTCGAGTGTATATTTGGAAAAAAGGTTCTAAAAGAAAAGAGAAGGAGAGAGAGAGAGAAAGTTAATTAGTGTTGAATGAGTTGAGTTAATTACTAAATTTAGATTTTAAAAACACTAACCTTGATCATCGTTTTCTGGATCGTAAACATGGTGAAAGTAAATCGGTTGACTGAGAAGTCGACGCAAAATGGTTTCGGTGATGAATTGATTTGCAAAAGGTGAACAAGAGGACGAAAGAAATTGGTAGGTCGCTAGGACCATTTGAGGTGAGATCGCAGTGTTGTCTTGACAGTTACGAAGTGATGAGAAAACTGAGTTATCTCGTTCTGACGGACGAGGTCGACGTTGTTTCAATCGATTATCGGTAAAAACATCCGTCTCATCAACAATCTCTGTTTGAAGTATCTCCTCGATAACATCTTCCAAGGTTACAAGTCCAACAACCTCATAATAAGGATCAGTGTGTTCAGCATCATCACATAATCGACGGACAAAAGATAAATGTGATTTACCCTCTTTAAAAGCACCAAGTGCAATGTCCAATGTCGTATCTTCCCAGGTATAGATTAACGGATGCCGATAATACTCAATGACCGTAGTCAATGGCATATTGTCATCTGGATCAACGAAAGCCAGATCTTTAACATATAAAAGACCAACGATATTTCGCCGGTCATCTTTATAAATTGGAATTCGAGAGAATCCAGACTTTTCTATTTTCGAAACTACATCAAAATCAAGTCGAGTTGCAAGCGGCAACATGAACACATCTTCCAATGCAGTCATTATCTGACCAACGGTTTTCTTTTTAAGTTCCAGTGCTCCAGAGATAATGTTCACTTCGGCAGTTTCCAATTGGGAATAATCTCTCGTTATTCTGATAAACTCCATTAGACGTTCTCGATCATAAACTTGGCCGATTTCATCGCCAAGAACAACATCAAGTATCTTTGAGATGGGCCATGAAAGTGGTGCAGTTATAACCATGAACAGATAAGTTATCCAAATGGTTTTAGCACCAACGGCAAGACCATGACGGGAACAAATTGCTTGAGGCACAATATCACCAATAATGACGATTGAAAGTGTTGAAATGACGATAGCATAAAGTCCAGTGGTGAGTTGATCAAGTAAAACAGTTAAAGTTGAATTAATGGCCACATTTGATAGCAGAATGGTACAAAGTAGGAAATTACCCCGTTTTCGTAAAGGTTCAATGGTTCGTGCATAGCGTTTCTCAGCCTCATCTCCTTTCAATGCGATAACCCTAAGCTCATTTTTATCCAACGACATAAGTCCCAAATTAAGTCCAGCAAACAGGCCAGTTAGACAAAGTAGCAACATGATCAAAGCGACCTGAAGACCGAGTGGCAATAAACGTCCAGTCACTTGAAGCGATAAAAATGTTTCACTTCCTTGGTGAACCCAATCTCCAGGAAAAATGGTTGTTGATGATTTGATAACGGAATCGGAATATCTCATTGTTTTAACAGTTGATTTGATTAATTGATTAGTAATTGTTGTTCTATTGTTTCCTTTTATTTTGGAATCGATTGACCGCATTTTCGAGTAAACATTTTCATCGACAGATTTTATCGCACTTTTCTCAGTATTGAAATTTCCCTTCTGATTGGGTAGCGGATTTTTGGCACAAATGTAAAGGGTGTCCGATGTTTTCGGCCATTTCACCTTGACCAATACCATTGTTGAGGTTATGTAAGTGATTGGTATCGGATCGAAACGGGATAAATCATTACAATTGGTTGAAGCGGCTGAAGGTATTCGGGTTAAAGCAATCAGGGTACTATTGGTGAAATTGGAACCAAATAGTCGGATTGACGTTTTGGTATCCGCGTAGATAATATTGATACCAAGTGAGTCCACTCGAGCTCGATCATTTTCAACATGTAGTCCAGTTATATAAGGTCCAAGAGGAACAGTGGACACTGATGGTGACACTTGTAACACTGAAGGTGAATACCTTTGATTATAAACAGTTAATGGTGACGATTTTGATGGTGAAATTGGTGAGGATGAAAGTGAAGGTGAAAACAACAAGTATATTAAGCTAATTAGTAAACAATTAGAAGGTAAATTTATATTCATGTTAATAAAAAAGTTAAGGATGAGGATTGAAGTGGTTGAAGATGATGGTTAGGATGAGGATGATGAGGATGATTAATTGTTGTTGTTGTTGTTAATAATAATTTCCAATGTGCTTTAATAATTTTAATTGTACAAATAATCAGTATCATTTTTTTTTCCTCTCAACTCAATTGTATTATTTTCATCTACTAATCAATTTTTTTACTGTTATTTTTACCTTTTATCTTTATCCTCTCTTTCTCTGTCTCTGTCTCTGTCTCTCTTTGTCATCCATGTCTCTTTCTTTTCCTCTGTCTCTTACATATCTTTCTCTTTCTTGCTCATCCTCATCTCTTTTAATCAATTTTTACCGTTTAATTATCAGACCAATAGCACCAAACAATCTTAGTCAATTGATTATCAATTGAAAACAAATACTTATGATTAAGATTAAAGATTAAAGAGAAATCATCTCTCTGAAACAAGTTGATTAACTAATTGCGGAAAAAAAGTGATTAACCATTTTTATTATTGTTAATCAATTTCTTGATTTACTTAAGTTATTAAGATTCAAATTGGAATCAACTTTGATCATGACTTATGTTAATTATTATCATTTGAGATAAATTGATTGTTAATTATTCTCAATGATTGACTTGGGCAAGTTTTGATCAATCTTTTAATCATTAAACAATCAACTGTAGTTAAGTGTGTGTGTGTATATATTTTTACAATTATCATTATATTAGTTGATTTATTTATTTGTTCATTAATAACTGTTGATTGTTTCATACAATATGTACTTAATTGCTGGAGGTAATTAATCGCTGATGATCAGTAGCAATAAGAAAGCCAATATAATGAGAATGATTAATAAAAATTGATATCATTTCAATGTTATTAAGGATCAATTCTTAATCCATGAAAATTAATTAGGTGAATACAATTATCAGGACTAATTAGTAGGGGAATTGACAAGTTGGATTAACTTTGATTAATAATTACATTGATAATAAAATTATAAGAAATTGGGATTAATCAAGTTATTACATATGAATTCATTTCCAGTAATTAGTTAGGTATCGGTAATTTAGATGATTAATAATTAATTACACAATTGACTTTTGTATTAATATTTAACAATTAGTGACACCTTTCTGTTAATTATGAGTCAAATTGATTAATCATTGATTTATCTAAGATGGTTATTTAATAAACAATTAAAGGTATTGATTATGATAATTGTATTAGTTATAATTTGTCATCAACAATAAATAAATGATTAATTATTATTACAATTTATTTGTATTACAATTAAATTAGATTAGAATGAATCAGCTGATTGTTGCTAAATTGTGTTACTTCATCTCGGAAAATGTACAAATTGTAACGTTATTAATCAATTATTGATTGTGACACAAATTGATGATCTAATTACTTGAAAGTTGATCACTAAATATTTAACTCAATTCTAATTGTAACGATTAGGATATGATTCGACTAAAAATTTAAATCTGATTTGAGACAACAAAATGATCAAACTAAAGATTTGAATACAATTTGAATTACTGAATAGTTAATTGTTTGTCCATCGTATCAAATGTTTAGTAAACAATTTAAATACGATATTGTTTCTTATTGTTGACTGTTGGTTGTTGATTGTTGATAACCTAAATTAATTATCGTCGCTTGATATAAACAATTTACTCGTCTAGTCTATAGATGGCTCTGGGAATCAATTTCTCTCGAGGTTAATCAACTTGATTGTGTTAATTAAATGTTTACCATTGAAGTAATTGTCTTTATCACTTGACAATCCAAGTCTTTAATATGAATATATTTGACATTGAGTTTACCAATTTAAATTTAAAAATGTTCAATTAAACTGTGATCTTTTTAACAACCAAATCAACTGGACAACAATTCAACTAATCATCATGAGCTCAGTAAATCGGGTTAATTGTGAAGACAATGTAATGATCACAATTCGGAATCGTGATAAGGAGTTTAAACTTGATCGGGGTCGTTTATGTTCATCGATACCTTATTTTAGTAAAATGTTTTCGGGTCAATTTCTGGAATCGACAACATCTCAAGTTAATCTGAACCTTTGTGAACGAAGCTTAGAAATGATCATGAATTATATTTCAAGCGATTTCATTTGTATCGATTTTACCGATCACCGATTTCTCGATTGATTCCCGAATGTCGACCTGATGGTAAATTCGCTTCCTTTCAATGTCATGGTGCAGCTGTTGGAGGTGGAAAATTCTATCAATGTTGGGACCCAGAGGGGAACATCATCCGAGGTCCATTAAAGAAGGTCAAGGCTTGTGGTTGTATTCTCCAAAGGCACCAATTGACCAATGAAAGACCTCGACGTAAGTTTCATTTCCTATCACTCTAGTGCATTTTCTACGTATTATTTAAATAAATTTTCCTACCATGATTTTCGTTGATTAGGAATTGGAGCTTTTATTCCTGCATGTGAGGAATCTGTTCACTTCAAGAAACACCAATGTCATTGATCAACTGAACACCGTTGGTGTGCCCAAGTAGAGAACCCAAATTTTTTTTGTTTTTTTAAATTTGAATCGATTGTGATCATCAAATGACCTTGAAACCGTATCCTAACAAAATAATCCGAATGACCTTGATATTTTAATATGACAATTGAGTATGGCCTAAACTACCATAACTCGAGTCTTGGGTCTGAACACTCATAAACAAATCAATCCACCGAAAGCACAATCCTCTAATTCACAACGTCAATTTTACCCAATCTGCTCCTGAATCCGTTGATTGGCGAACATCAATCGTCACAAAGGTCAAAGATCAAGGTCAATATGGTTCATGTTGTAATTGCGGTTTAACGGATTACGTCAAATCCAACAAAGGAGATGAAAAACCTTTTCTCCAAGCTGTCGCAAAAGGAGTTGTTTCCGTTGCGGTAGATGCTAAACCTTTCCAACTCCATGAGCAAGTTTCGTTTTAGAACTTCAGAACAGTCAGAAAGCAACAGGTTTTTTGCCCTTGTCAAATAAATAATAATATAACTATTCAATCGTTTTATTCAGTTCTGGAATCCTTAACTCTCGATCACGTGATCCTGAGAATCTTGACCATGGTGTCACTGCTGTTGGATATGGAGTCGACAATGGAACTCTCTATTGGATCGTCAAGAATTCATGGGGCGAAGAAAGTCACATTCGAGTCATTCGAGATAAAAACATGTGTGGTATCGCTGAATCCGCTTCATACCCTGTAGTTTAATAAACTCGATCAAACTTGTTAAATTTTTGATTTTCAACAGTGAAGTTGACATTAGGCAAATCAACCTGTTGCTATGAGTTAATTGTCAATTGATAACTGAAAGTGATTATTAAACTTCATTTTTAAGAGTAAAAAGTTTTTTACTTTTTATTCCTGAGCAATCGATTCAATTGTGTTTGATTTAATCATTACAACAGAGTAAGATACCAATCTCACCTGTTGATTACTGATAGAGATGATAATGATGATGAATAAATAAATACAAATAGAAATTAAATTGATTGTATCAATTATCAAGAGACAAGATTAGCCTCTTTAGCTAATGAATAGAATATTGATTGTTTGTTTTCTAATAAAACTTTTGGCTCATCAAATTCCACGATTTGACCTCGATCCAAAACCATCACTCGATCAGAATCTAATATTGTATTCAAACGATGAGCGATCGTTAATATTGTACAATCTTTAAATTCTGTTCTGATTGTTTTCTGAATCAATGAATCCGTTTCCAAATCGATCGCTGCAGTTGCTTCATCCAGAACTATTGCAAAGAATGAGAGAGAAATAAAAAAATAAGAATGAAAAAGAACAAATAAAAGAAGAGAAAAACTCACATAGAATCTTTGGTTTCTTAAGTAAAGCTCTTGCTAAACACAACAATTGTCTCTGTCCAACACTAAGATTTTTTCCTTCCTCAGCTATTTGGTAATTAAGACCTTGACCAGTATTATTAACGAATTGTTTGAGATGAGCATGAGACAATGCATCCCAAATATCATTGTCTGAATAACAATCAAATGGATCCAAGTTGAATCTCAAGGTTCCACCAAAAAGGACTGGATCTTGAGGGATAATTGCAAGACGAGATCTCAATGGATGCAAAGGTAATTCGCTGATATTAAGACCATCAATCGAAATCGATCCTCCTGATCCTTCAATTAATCTAAACAATGACAGAGTAACTGTCGATTTACCAGCTCCAGTTCGACCAACAATTCCAATCTTTTCCAATCCTTTGATTTCTCCTGAAATTCCTTTTAAAATCAATTCGGTTCCTTCTCGATATCGAGTTTCATATTTATCGAATTTAATTGATCCTTTTGATGGCCAATCTTCAGGTGGCATAACTTTACCTTCATACCAATCAGCTTCACTTTTTAATTTACAATATTCCATAATACGTTCAACAGCAACAATGTTTGTTTCTAAATCAGAAGCCATTCGAACGAGCCAGTTAAGTGAGCCTGTTATACTGAGAGCGTATGTAACAGCGAGACCAACAGCACCGGGATCGAGAGATCCGCGGGAAAGAACTGCGAAAATAGCAGTTGATAGAATCATAAGACTTCCACATAATTCTAGTCTGATACTTAACCAACGATCGGCGACAATACTTGGAAAGAGACACGAAAGGTTGCGATCAAGTTTATGAGCTGATTCCTGAATAAATCTCTCGGAGACTTTAAAAGCCCGAATAGTACTAACTCCATTTAATGTTTCTCCGAAGTGTGAATAAATCGGTGATCGAGTGACCGATTCGAGTCTTTGGAGTTGACGAGATGACGACACATAAATGCGTTGGATAAAAATATAAACTATTGTGATTGGAACCAGAGTAATGATGAACAAAGGAGTATTGATACAGATAATGACACAAGAGGAAATCACGTCCAAAAGGCACGAAATCCACGAACTATAACAAATAAGAAGAATAACAATGAGAATGAATATGAAAATGTACAGATAATTATGCATCTTCGATTGCTATTTACTTTAAGACCATCGGTAATCCCGTATCGATCACACTAATATCTTTAGAGAATCTATTAACGATTCGACCGATCGGGTTGGTGTCAAAAAACGACATCGGCAATTGGAATACTTTATGTGAAAGATTTCGATGAAATCCGATAGATGCTCGAAATGCACCACTTATAAGAAACCAAGACCCGATGAAAGTAAAGAGACCTATGGTAAGAAAGCAGAATAAAATAATTGCAACAATTGTTTGAATAGTTACTTTTGGTTACCATTCATAAATCCCAAGAAACTGTAAACTCCAAGTCTCATTTCGGTGCTGGACAGAGTAACATTCTGAGTTGTCGAGTCACTTGACCATTTGGCCAACCAAATATCTGATCCTAATTGGAATCCATTTGAAATTCCATGACTTAAAACGATAAGTGATGTCCAGAGGATAGAAACCATTCCAAAGTATTCGAAGTAAACTGACCATTTGACTTTGCCAGTTTCTGATTCTTCATTTTCTATCAATTTTGTTTTATTGATATTCTCTTCATTAGATAGCTTGACACTATATTCTTTATCAACTGGTTTATCGTTAGTTGATTCTTCATGTAGTTCATTATCTTTTTCGACTACTTGATTAGTAAATTGTTCAACGAGATCACAAAACTCTCCTTTAGCTTCCATCAATTGTTTGTATGTTCCATTCTCGGTAATCACACCATTAGTTAGAACATAAATACTGTCGACTTTGGATAAAAGATCCAACTTGTTGGTCACTAAAACTCGAGTTTTATTCTTTAAGATTCCAGTCTTTGAGCTCAGAACTTTTTTGAAAATATGTTGAGCTACATGAGCATCGACAGCACTTAATGGATCATCTAAAATGAACAGATTAGAATCACTGTAACAAGCTCGAGCAAGACTAACTCGTTGTTTCTGTCCACCCGAAAGGTTAATTCCTTTCTCGCCGATTTCCGTTTCATCTCCTCCAGGTAAATAAGCGATATCAGGTTCTAATGCACAGGCAGAAATTACCTGATTATATTTACTTTCATCGAATGGATAACCAAATAAGATGTTGTTTTTCAATGAAGTATTTTGAATCCATGCTTGTTGAGCGACATAAGCGATTGAATATTTGCCATTGATATTAATTCGTCCTGATATTTTCTCCATCTCTCCGAGAATCGCACTTAACAATGAACTTTTACCACTACCAACAGAACCAACAATCGCTACAAACGAACCAGGTTTCACTTGCATGTTGATCTTTTGTAATGTCGGAATTTCTTTTGCCAAAGATTCGAGGTTAGTGCTCAATTTATCTTTTTTGATGCGAGAAAAAAAGTTTTTCTTCCCTCTATTTTTGTTATCTTCTTGTTTTTTCTTGTTCCATTTGAAGTAACCATTTTCAATTGAGATCTCATAAACTTCTTTGTTTCTCGTTACATAAGGATCAAGATCTTCGTAGCTAAGAAATTTGTTGATTCTCCTTATAGATATGGAAGTCTAAATGAAGAAATGAAAGTGATTGGAATTGTGTTAGAAATAATAAAATATAGTAATATAAACGGGAAAAGTTCTAAACAATTCGAGTACTAACCATGACGAAATACGACAAAAGTTCGGGTAGCATAGATAAAGGAAATTGGAGTAGATGGAATAGCGAAAGAGAAACGAATGCTTTTTCTGCTGTTAATGATTCTTTTTGAATCAATACATAAGCGGCGAAAGTGGCCACCGAAACCATCATTGGAGAGCAGAGCCACAGAAACGCACTGAAGTTTTCCAAGTAGCTCAATCTTCTCAAGTGACCCAACTCTTTCTTTCGTAATTCATTGACGATCTTTAGAAATGAATTTTCCCAAGCATAAAACTTAATAATCTTTATCCCGCTCAAAATTTCATTCATGAACTTTACTCTTTCATCTATTTGCCCCATGAGATTTTCTTGAAACTTTTGACACCAATGAACAGTCGCTCCATTGATCGGCATCATCAGCACCATCACACCAAGACCAAACAAAGAAGAATATCCTAATTCAACATAAAGAAACCAAATAGCCAGAAGAATTTGCAAAGGCGCTGACCAAATTAGATTGAGATCAGGGAGTAGATTCAGAAATCGTTGAGTATCGACGGAAATGAGATTAACAACTTCTCCCGAAGTCACTTTTTTGTTCGCTTTGTCACTAAGATTCAGCGATTTCTTGTAAATTGCCGCAGTCAAAGTTGAAGTTAATCTCATACCAAGAAGATTCATGCTATAATAATAGCAATTGACGAAAATGGTCTGAGCAAATGAGATGATGAACATTGCGAATGCAATTAAGAATCCATGCCAAATAGGTTCACTTGATTGGTTGTCTATGAATGCAAGCAGTAACCTTTGATGTAAATGAAACATTAATTGAGTGTCAACTTGAGATAAAGTTTATCTTTTTGCATAATTACTTCAATAATTGTGGCGTAACAAATGAAAGTACGTCTTCAACTAATTTGAAAAAAGCTCCACTCATGAAATATGCACCATAAACTTTGATTAGAATCGGGACTATGTTCACTTTAAGCTTAAAGGTCTGGTTGGTTTGTGATGATGAGATATTTGTATCATCGTTAATTCTGGATAATCTTTTTTGTTTTTCAACCTGTTGATGCAATTTCGTATCAAAAGCCCCAATGAGATTTTCTGTTTTCAAATCATCTCGAAGCTCCCACAAGTCTTTAGTAGTCAAAGAAGTTCTCCAACCCAAAAGGGCCATTTTGTTGAACCACGAGAATAAAACGGTACTTGGAAAAGAAGCTTCGTTTTCTGGACTATACTTCTTACTGGATATGTTGTCTTTTTCGATCAATTCATGTTCATCGATTGGTAATTTTACTTTATCAGCAAAAGAAGTTATGATAAGTAGAAAGAGATTAGACACGAAAAAGATATTCATCAAAATGACCTCTGTCCCAGTGTATTCGGAAGCATCGACCCAAGTCGAATAAGCGATTAGAAAAGTACAAATTGTTTGTAGAAAAAAGTAAATCCATATGATGGCACTTGTGTGAATACCACGCAAACGATGGTAATGGAATAAGAGACTGACCAATGTCTATGAGAAGATATAAAGACAATCAAAATGATAAATTAATGACTCGAATAAAAGATTATTGATAATAAATAAAAGGATTTAAAGTCAGATTGAGTTATGAAATATTTGATACTCAAAAGGGCTCTGGACCTATGGTACATCTATTGATAAATAATCAAAGATAAGTCTTGAAATTGAAACTATGATTTACGCGGTTAATCTTGGCTTAATTGTTGAAACGAACTGTCTTTTAACTAATCAAACAAAAGAACTCTGAAGTTCAGAGTCTGAACATTTGACAAGATGAACTTTTCTATCATCTAAATTGATATTTAAATACAGTGATAGATAATGAAAATTTAGATTTTAATCAATTTTATTGATTTTAAGTTGATTCGAAGTAGCTAAGTTACTTAAAAACAAAGCAAGTATAAACCGGCTAAGTGACTGCAGGCTATAGCCTCTCGATTCCAAAGGCGGCTATCAGCTAGCTGCTGTTCACTCCCTTCGGTATCTAAACCACTTGATAACTCGGCGGGAGTTGCTGAGAAAAACTGTAATAAACATGAAAAAATGGTTGAAAACTGATAAATGTAATTAGTTAATAGACATACTATTTCTCTCAGGAGAAATAAGTGAAGAAATTGCATCATGTCAATCAGGTTAATGTTAACAGATTAAAAGTCGGTGTGGAAATTGAGATTAATAACAATTGAAAATGAAACATTGATTACTTACGAATGAGATAATATTAGTTGAGGAAGAGTAAAAATCAGCAGCAACTGATGGATTAGATGAATTGAAATATCTGTAGATTATGTTGACTAATTGTAAACCATTTATGAGGATATTTAATGTGGATAAAATTAATCTGCATGTGTTAATCCAGTTCCAAGGAATCAATTGTTCCGTATTTTAATTGTTCGTCTAATTTCATAGATGCAAAGTAACCAAAGGAAACAAGTTGGTAACCAATTGAGAATCGTAGTGTGAAAACATCGAGACAATTTAGGAACATTTGAATTCCAAGTTGAATTAACATCCTACAAGAATAAATAATAACATCAAATAAGAAATCAGAAAAAAACAAGTTCAATGAAATCAGTAAATCGATATTCAGTCATTTTAATTCAGATTTTTCATTGAACTGCATGGTGATTCAGTGATTCTTCATAATTTTCGTCAAAACAAGACTTGGACTTTTTTCGGTTCCACTGACGTTAATTTTTCGGTGGCCTCTCTTGGCCACATTTTTTTCTACTATGGGTAAATTAACACCCCACGAGCTCAATTCTGCGATTGATAAACTCTAAAGTTACTACTCTATTTCTCTAACGGGAATCTGTAAGTGGACAACCTAACGAATGAACCAATATTTTGGTGAGAAACCTAAAAGTGGAAACAGTTACCAACTTACCCATAGAATTGATTCACCACAAATTGATTCCAATTGGATGATTGAATTAAGATTAAGATTCATATTGATTGAAGAGTTAACTCAACAAAATAATGATTATGACGAAAATTGATCCAGAAAATAATTTGATTTAATATAAAAATAGAATTAACAAAATAAAAGGTTAACTGTTTGAAAACAATTGTTCAATTACAGAAATTGAGAAAAAGTTTGGACTTTGAAGTTACGCCGGTGTAAGCTGGCGAGTAAGCTACCTGAAGCATCACCGGCTTCAGTGAACAGCTTAGTCAACTTAAGAGCTCTAGAAAGTTTATTGAAAAGATTCATCTTTTTCACATGATCAATGGCCTCAGACATTGCGGCCTTTGGAGTAAGACTACATTACTGATTTTAATTATCGATATATTAATAATATCGAAAGAGAAAAAGGCAAAGTAATTGAACTGGTAAGAGGAAAAGAAAAAGTTGGAAACAAATTAGCGCAAACAATTGGGATATGATTCGACTAAAAATTTAAATCTGATTTGAGACAACAAAATGATCAAACTAAAGATTTGAATACAATTTGAATTACTGAATAGTTAATTGTTTGTCCATCGTATCAAATGTTTAGTAAACAATTTAAATACGATATTGTTTCTTATTGTTGACTGTTGGTTGTTGATTGTTGATAACCTAAATTAATTATCGTCGCTTGATATAAACAATTTACTCGTCTAGTCTATAGATGGCTCTGGGAATCAATTTCTCTCGAGGTTAATCAACTTGATTGTGTTAATTAAATGTTTACCATTGAAGTAATTGTCTTTATCACTTGACAATCCAAGTCTTTAATATGAATATATTTGACATTGAGTTTACCGATTTAAATTTAAAAATGTTCAATTAAACTGTGATCTTTTTAACAATCAAATCAACTGGACAACAATTCAACTAATCATCATGAGCTCAGTAAATCGGGTTAATTGTGAAGACAATGTAATGATCACAATTCGGAATCGTGATAAGGAGTTTAAACTTGATCGGGGTCGTTTATGTTCATCGATACCTTATTTTAGTAAAATGTTTTCGGGTCAATTTCTGGAATCGACAACATCTCAAGTTAATCTGAACCTTTGTGAACGAAGCTTAGAAATGATCATGAATTATATTTCAAGCGATTTCATTTGTATCGATTTCACCAATGTTATCTCATTGTACGCTACTTGTGATTACTTAATGATGGACAATTTGTTAGCTGAGTGTTACAACTTTTTCTATGAAAATTTTAACATTGAACATTTACCAGAGATTTTCGATACAATCAAACCAACATCTAAATTGATAACTTTCTCACAATTAAATAACTTCATTTCTAGAAACTTCCTCAGAATCAGTGAGATGAAAGTTTTTCAACGTTTCTCATTTGAAACTGTTATGCAAATTTTAAAACGCGATCTAAATATTGACAATGAAATTCGAGTCTCCAACGCAATCGAAACATGGGTCCAATATGATGAAGAAAATCGTGTCAAGCATTTACCCTCATTGATTAAATTAGTTCGTTGGAAATTATTACCAGAAGAACAATTCGAATCAATCAAATCGAAACCTTTGTTCGAACCATTTAAATGTTCAATCAACGAGATGAGAAAATCGAACCAATACAATCAACCTGATGAAAGTCGATTGGGTTCAAACTGTTTAGTTGTTGTTTTCGAAGTCGATCCAAAAAAAATTGGAATCAATGTTCAAATCGATCAGTCCCCTTGGATTTTTATCGGTACTTTTACAATGGATAAGAACCTTTCTCTTAACCTTATTACCGATGAAACCATGATCGATATTATTTACGATTCTGGACGAAAAGGACTTAGAATCGATTTGATTGGGAGAAAGTTCAATTACCACCAAATGACCGGAACACCGACATCTTATTATCGACAATTGTATCGATACATTTTATCAGCTAATGAACCTAAATGGTAAGAATTGATTATCTTATCAACTTTGATCTTGATTTCCGTTTCCTTTTTCGCCAACAATAATAATAATAATCTTTTCTGTCAACATTTGTCAAGATAATAATCAACAATAACCTAATTGATGAGGCCCATAAGTCAACGACCCGTCAATTAAATTCAAGTTTCCTCATTATAATTTAACTAATTATGTTTCCATATTATTATTTTGTTTTTCCTATTTATTAATTTGCAGCTTAAAACGTTATCTTATTCAAATGAAAGGAGTCCCGATCACATATGACGAATCATATTTCAGTCGGTCAGTTGATGGTCACATTGATCAAAATTCATCATTTACTTCAATCGGCTACCTGAGTTCCTATGGTGTAAACAATTCCTACATTTATATACCTTGTAGTGACCTGAAAAATTGGTCCAATCGGATTGAGAACGGAAAAATTGATGATCGAGTTCATGTCTCAATGATTGATGATAACTTTTACATTATAACCAATGAACTTACATTTTACCGTTATAATCAAGAGACAAACTCATGCTTAACATTAACATCTTTCAAAGATTGGACTCCATCTTTTAATGATCTACAATTAACTTCAGATCAATTGAAAAGATCAATCTTATTACTTGATCGATCGTCAAAGCAAATATATCGTCACAATGAGTCAAACAATGAATGGACAATTTTACAGAAAATTGTAACTTCTCATAATTTGATTACATTAACTTCAATTTTTATTCAACAATCAACTGTTTCTAATTTGCTAGCATCCAGACTCAAATGAATTTCAATAAAAAGTCAACAAATAAACTGACAAAAAAAGTAAATATTAACTTGAAACTTACTAATACTTTCAACGAATTCAAATTAACCGGGAAACTTCAAATCGTTCACAATGTGATCCATTATTTAATTGTAAGAAAGTTAGCAATTTAGACGTTGGTTTGATTGTATCGAAAATCTTTTACTAAAATATGGTATCGGTGGACATAAACGACCCGATCAAGTTTGCACTCCTTATCATTAGTGCAAAGGTTAATGTCGTGGCCTCTAGTATACGATGCCAATCCCGACAATCCAGTTCCTCTAAAATATGATATTATTAATTGACAGTTTACATTGTAATACGTCAAGTTGTAAAGGTTAATCGCTGGGTCTTAAAAGCCGCCCTGTTTGCCGACTGATCAACAATAGTTTAAAGCAAATTTATCATTATGTTTGTTGATTTTTTTTATTTTGACATTAAAACCGAGGAAAGTTATTCTTATTGGATCAATTAATTGGTTTAATTTTTCGGTTTGTTATAAATCACCATAAGAGGTTTGTAAATAAGGTTTTCGGCCAGTTCAGCAACATTATGTTCAAGAGTCTTCGATGGACTGAATCCTGGTAACTTGAAGAGCTTGAGAGCATCGGTGACAATATTGTTGACAGTATCGTTCAATGAGACATGTCCCATGGCTTCGGGATTCCAATCAGCTTCCACTGATTTTTTGACAACATTTATCAGATTTTCTTGAAGAGTAGCTGAATTATCCCAATTGGTTATATTTTTCTCAACGTTCTTTATGAAATCTAAAGATTGATAAACCATATCCACAAATGGACCAGATACTTTGAGATTCGAACAACAAAACAAGAAATTAGTTAACTGTTTGTAAAGTAATTAAATAGTATCAATATTTACCTTGTTTACCGTTGATCGATGAAACACAGAAAAGAGCAATTAAGAAAAGAGAAGCTTTCATATTGATTAAGTTCTTATGGCGAATTCAAGTTCCAAATGGGTTTCAACTGTTTAACTAATAATATTGAGAGACTTTCAACGATTTCTCTTTTATAGTTAATCCAATTTGATCACTAAGAATGATAAGATTGATTAGCAATAATAATTCATTAACTAGCGACGAGTTCAATCAAATTACAAGGTCAAAATATTAGATATTTCAATGATATCGTGTAACCATAATAACTGTGATTCCAAGACAACTAAAAGGATATCAATTTATCGATATCATGTGAAAATAGCGTATGTCTCTCCTGTTATTATGTATTAATAGTTAAATCAGTTTAAATGGAACTAATCTTGTTTTGCTAATTGTTTTCCGTATCAAAGAATTGATAAAGTTAATCATCTAACTGATAGAGAATTTCTTAGAAATTAGCTATTGTTTTCCAAGACTTTCTCATTTCAATGAGAATCAGTTAACGGAAAAAATAATAATAAGTTGGACCAAGCAGAGTTGGGGGAATTTATTTTTGATTTTTGACTTTTGATTAGATTAATTGTTCGATTTTCTCTATCGATGATGATATTTAAATTAATAATGAACTATCAGAAATTATGCCCAGTCCGAAGAATGTGATAAGTTTTATAATCTTTAAAAAGATTCTTTCAGAACGAAGTAAATTGATTCCAATCAAAGAGATTGAATTGAGTGAAAAAGATGAAATTGAAATATTAAGAGAGATAATCGAAGAGTATGAATATACTTTGATTCTTTATGGACCAATTGATTAATTTTTTAATTTTTTTCTTTTTAAATATTAAAATTTCAAATCTAACTAACAATTCAAGTTTACCGCGTTAACATCATTTTGTTTGTTTACATTTTTGAGATGATTAAAAGTCAGCAGCTTCATTCAATGGAAAGTTATCATTGATTAGTTAATTGCAAATACTCCTTACTTTTTGGTTTATTGTTTCAATTATTTTCATCATTTTCGTACTTGTGCTTTTCTAATCCAAGTTGATCGCTTAAAGAGTAATTTGAGCCTTGGTGAGTTGTTGATGAAATAACTGATTGGATTTTGATCTCTATTATTTTCGTTTTTTTTCTTGATAATCGACTCAATTTGATTAGAGACCAATGGATTGTCCATTTCAAATACCTGAATCACTTTCTAAAGTGAATGATTATCAAAATCTTCTTACACAACTCCAAAATGCAATCGAAAATATTGAATCTTATCGTGATAAATTGTTGGATAAAAGTAAAGAATTAACAATATCTTTGGATCATTTGGCTTTTGATGGAAGTTCGATTGTTATTACAAGGGAAATTGATGTTATCAAAGGAAAAGTTACAATTGTGGACAAAACTTTATCTTCATTATCTGTTTTGCAAAAGTATTCGGAAGAAGCATCAGATCTTCATGAATCTATGCTTCAACGTCCAAACTATCTAATGCTCAATTCAAAATTCTTTAGATTAAGTGTTTTAGGTTTTGAATTTTATACATTCATAGAGATGATTATATCTTTCATTAAGCGATCGGTGCAACCAAGTGCAATCTCAATGAACTCTTTGGATTCGGGTCACAAATCTCCTTATGATTTCTCATCGATTATTGACAAACTGTTGAAGTCTTTGGAAAACAATTCAAATCCTGATTCACAAATCCAAGTAGAATCATTACTTAAACTTGCTCAAAGTGAATTACAATTTATCAGGCAATCAAAAGATATGAATGAAGGACAATTAACACTAATCAAAATCTATTGTGATAAACTTAATCTTCTGGATGATGAATTATCATCAATTGACAAGGAAACGGAAAACAAACCAAAGCAAAAAGCAAAGAAATTACGAGATATCGTTAATGGAACTCGATTAATTATCAAAGAAACGTTCGAATTGATTGTTGCTCTAAAAACAGTCGAATGGATTAACGAAAGTGACGAAATATTTGTCGTAATTAACGAGAAAGGAGCTGATTCTTTTGATGATGTTATCGATTACATGGAGAAAATTAAAAAACATTGGATTGAGAGAAAGACAGTTAATGAAACGAGTAAAGTCTGTAGACTTGCAGCATTAAGGAGATTCAATGTTTACATCAAACAAATGAAGAAATTGTCAATACTTAAATCTGAATTGGAATCAGATTGGATCATTTTAGGAATAAAAAATATTATAACAAATTTCAATCGGATTGAGAGATCTTCATCGAGAATTGTCAACAATGCTTATTATCTCACCTACAAAGGACTACCGAAACCCCCTGTTGATGTTCCTGTTGGATTCATAAGAGATGATATAATTTACAAAGACCTGGATGAGAACTCTCATCAACATCTTATAATCGTTTTAATATATCTTATTAGATATCTTGATTATCTCAATTCATTGACTTGGAACAAATTTCAGGACAGAAAACCTCGAAGAGTGTGTGATAATTTCGTTGATATGATTTATGTCTTTAAAGCATTAGTCGACTCAGACTTGGATGACAGTGAATTAAAATCGATATCCTTTGACTTGGCCGATCGTCTATGTTTGGCCAAGATCAAAATATCGAATGATCGAGATGCATTAGAATATCGACTTTTTCGTTACAAGCCAAGAAAACCATTTAAATTTGTAGAATTACAGAAAATCTTTAATCGTAATCATCCCAGTAAACGTTATCCTGTTATGAAGTATATCGAGAACAATTTAGACGAGATAATCAATGGATTCAATCGTAAAGTCACTAATCGTGGGCAAATGATGATCATGAAAAGTGCCATGGAAATGATGAAAAGATCATTAAAAACTTTAAAACTTATGCGAACTGATTTTAATCTCGATCCTCAAGAAAAGTATCTTGGTAATTATCTAGTTAATCAGTCTGCTAATGAGTTTTGTTATGTTGCCGAAACTCTTGGCACTTTGTTGGACAATTTTCGACCCAACAGACGAACTCCTTTTAGCTTTAATGCCGATGGAAAATTCACCCAACAAATAAACGAGATTGGACTTGGAATGAAAAAAGATTTCGAGATGGAGATTAACTCACAAATAGAGAAATTAAAAGCTACGATCAAAGAAAATGAAGAGAATTTAGAATCGACAAAAGAGGAAAAGATACAATTACGATACTTAACATCGATAGTCAAACGAAGTATATTGATTCCAATCAAAGAGATTGAATTGAGTGAAAAAGACGAAATTGAAATATTAAGAGAGATAATCGAAGAATATGAATACACTTTGATTCTTTATGGACCAATTGATTAATTTTTAATTGTTTCTTATTTCTTTGTTTCATTAATTCTATTGTTTTGTTATTCCATTGTAATATTTAAAATTAAATTTCGATCCTTGTATTATACCAATGTTTCAACTCTATGAATTATCTATTGTTTGTACATGTATTTTCTCAGCATCATTATTTTAGTTGATTGTGTTATAAATTGTTAGTCTATCAGGTGATTTAATCATTTAATGAGTTTGAGTTCATTAAATTTTTCATTGATATCAATCTGTTTAGAAGAACTGAATGACTTTCACCTAAAAATTACTTCACATGAGAGCCATTGAATCTTTAAGGGATCAAATTGAATAGAGTATCGCACGAGAGGCAATCGCTACAATTTATTTAATTTCTGGCTCACCACTTTCATTTCACTGATAGAGAATTTAGTAATTTAGAATTTAGAATTTAAAGAGATTAGAAGTTAGCTATTATTTTCAAAGACTTTCTCTTGGCAATGAGAATCAGTTAATAACAGAAAAATATGAATAGTTGATCATTCAAATTAACCGCGTTAACTTGAATTCTCTTACAATGTTATCAATTTGTTTGTTTGGTTAAATTTTGACATTTAAACTGATGAAATGCTTTGATCTTTGTTAATTTTAAAGAGTAAAGAGTTACTACTCTTTGGTTGATTTATTCCAAGTCAGTTTTCAGTTTTATAATCTTTTTAATTAACGTCAAATCGCAACGACTTTAACTGTGTTTTAATTGTGCGAATTAATCTATTATTTAATTACCAAAGCCCAATGGATAATCCGTTTAACGTCCCAACGACTTTTTTTGCTTGGACTAGTTTTTCAAATCTTCCTAATTTATTTATAGTTATCAACGATGTTAAATGTTATCGTGATAAATTATTTGCGGAAAGTGAAGTGAATAGAAAATCATTGGATGAGCTTGATTCTAAGGATCGGATTTTTATTCAACGGAAGGTTGATGTTTCCATGAAAAAGATTGAAATAATTGATGAGGCTTTGATTTCATTGAATGTGCTACGAAAATATATCGAAGAAGCTTCGGAACTTTATGATCTATTAATGCAATGTCCCAACTATCGTCTGATTGGCTCGGAACACATTAGATTTTATTTTCATGGAATTAGTCTTACTAAATTTATCAACATGTTGCTGTCTTTTACTGAGCGATTTATAAGATTTTGTGAAGCTCAATTGGACTCTTTGGATTCAGGTCACAAATCTCCTTATGATTTCTCATCGATAATTAATAAACTGTTGAAATCTTTGGAAAACAATTCAAATCCTGATTCTCAAATCCAAGTAGAATCATTACTTAAACTTGCTAAAGGTGAATTACAATTAATCAGGCAATCAAAAGATATGAATGAAGGACAATTAACACTAATCAAAATCTATTGTGATAAACTTAATCTTCTCTATGATGAGTTATCATCGGTTGACAAGGAAATGGAAAACAAAGCAAAGCAAAAAGCAAAGAAATTACGAGATATCGTTAATGGAACTCGATTAATTATCAAAGAAACGTTTGAATTGATTATTGCTCTAAAAACAGTCGAATGGATTAACGAAAGTGACGAAATATTTGTAACAATTAACGAGAAAGGAGTTGATTCTTTCGGTGATGTTATCGATTACATGGAAGCGAGTAAAAAGAACTGGATTGAGTTTAAAACGGTCAATGAAACAGACAAAGTTTGTAGACTTGCGACTTTGAGAAGATACAATATTTACATTAAACAAATGAAGAAATTATCATCAATGAAATCAGAACTCGGGTCTGAGTGTATACTTTTAGGAATCAAAAATATCACCAAAAATTTCGTTCAAACTCGCAAATCCTCATCAAACATTTCAAACACCGCTTATTATTTAACTCATAAACTTTTACCTGCCCCACCTGTTGATGTACCTGTTGGATTTATAAGAGATGATATCATTTATGAAGAATTGAACTCAAGTCCTAAGCATCACCTTCCTATTATATTAATTCATCTTATTAAGTTTATTCATTCCCTGAATTTATTAACTTGGAACAAATTTCAAGACAGAAAACCTCGAAAAGTATGTGATAATTTTATCTACATGATCGATGTCATTGAAGCTTTGATTTCTTCAAATTTTAATGATGATGAGCTGAATTTGATATCTTTAGACTTGGCTGATCGTTTATGTTTGGCCAAGATGAAAATTATAAATGATCGGGATGCATTAGAATATCGACTTTTCCGTTACAAACCGAGAAAACCTTATAAATTTGTGGAATTACAGAAAATATTGAACCGTAATCATCACAATAAACGTTACCATGTGATGGATTATATTGAGAATAATTTAGACGAGATGATCAATGGATTCAATCGCAAGGTCACTAATCGAGGACAAATGATGATCATGAAAAGTGGCATGGAAATGATGAAAAGATCATTAAGAACTTTACAACTTATACGCTACAATGCTTATGATAAAGATCAAAAGTATCTGGGAGATTTTTTGATTACTCAAGCATCAAATGAGTTTTGCTATGTTGTTGAAACTCTTGACACTTTGTTGGACAATTTTCGACCCAATAGACGAACTCCTTTTAGCTTTAGCGCCGATGAAAAATTCACCCAACAAATAAACGAGATTGGACTTGGAATGAAAAAAGATTTCGAGATGGAGATTAACTCACAAATAGAGAAATTAAAAGTTACGATCAAAGAAAACGAAGAGAATTTAGAATCGACAAAAGAGGAAAAGATACAATTACGATACTTAGCATCGATAGTCAAACGGAGTAAATTGATTCCAATCAAAGAGATTGAATTGAGTGAAAAAGATGAAATTGAAATATTAAGAGAGATAATCGAAGAGTATGAATACACTTTGATTCTTTATGGACCAATTGGTTAGATCAATTCTTCTACCAATATCGCAAACAAATTATGTAATCATAACCACCGCGATTCCAAGTGAATACACTTCGATTCTTTATGGACCAATTAAATAGTTTTCAATGAACTTTCAACCAAAATGCCATTTACCGTTTACAATTATTATTAAATTTGATTATAATTATGGTGCGAAAATTTCATCTTGATTGAAAACATTTTTCAAATAATATTTATTTTCTTTGAAATTTTCTCGTTTGTTAAACACTGAACAAGATTTACGTTATCCCACTGTATTATAATAATAATACTACTCATTCATATCCAGTTCGTTTAAGATCTTTTCGGGTGTTCGACTCGTAGTCAATGGACTTCCCTATTTTAGATGAGTCGAAGCCGATAAAAGATAAATAAATTAGGCGATACAATTAAATAAACTGATGGATTAAGAAAATAATAGCTATCTACACATGATAAATAAATTATAATAGATGAAAGTATTATTATCGATATCGAAGTTCGAAGTCTTTCTGCAGAAAGACTTAGTATTAATATTATTTATTTAAAATCCCGGAACTTTTATAGGTAATCGACCATCGAGTTCTGTTATAAGAGTCTTATTTTGAAACTCTCAACATTTACAGTGTTTCCTGATTGAAGAAACCAAACTTCCAAGTGAGAGAACCTTTTTTTCATAACAACGAACCAATCACCAAAAGAAGAAACCAAATTTTCAAATGAAGAAACCAAATTTATTTCACTTTTCTTCTAATTACAATTAATTATCAATTTCTTCTTTGCGTAGACAACGAGGAAGATAATCTAGCATATGATCATAATAAGCTTTACAATCATCACTTGTGATGACATCAGATGCATCTCTGATTGCCTCGAAAACAGCATCAATAGTTGCTGGTCTTTGTCTTTTAATATAAAATTTCAATTGATTGAACATATTTTCAATCGGATTAAGGAATGGGCTGTATGGCGGTAGGTAGAGTAGCGAGTGTCCACTAGACTCAACTAAATTTTTCACATCTTCAGCTCTATGGAATCTAACATTATCCATGATGAAAGTACAATTGAATTTCTGTTCAACATCTAAATGATGTATTAATTGTTTGAGATAATCGATGAATTCAGACGTATTGTAACTAATTGATTGAGCCTGATAAAAGTAGAGACCATCTATTGACATTGCTGCACACACAGAATAGTTTCGACCTTTAAATTATCAATAATTTTAAAGTGTTTTAATTTTCTGGTTCCCGTTAATTTGATAAGATCTCGTAAAACAATAGAGTATTTCAAAGGAAAATTTATTTACGATCATGCTTAAAGAGTTCTGCTTCTGAATCAGTTTTTGCAGGATGAAACAATGAACAAATAGAGATAAAGTTTACTTCGATAAGTGAAATTTTGATTGTTCATTATTAATTAATTATCATTTATTCTTTTACTATGACTTGCACACCTTACTACACAATTGTATCACTATTACTATCTTGATTAATATTTGTCTCGATAATTTAAATCATTGTTCTTGATACAAATAATATAATAATAATAGTATATAAAGAAATTTTCAATTATTATTAATTCATCATTATTAGTATTTACATGTGAATTGTATTCCTCACAAGTTTCAAGTCAAAATGGTGAATTCAATCATTAAACTTGTTGTTCTAAGTAAGTATTGAATTTTATGTCTTAATAATAATTGATTCTTCTTTGACAATTTACTGATTTTTTTTGTCTTTCTAGTGATTTTCAGTCAATCGGCTGTATCATCCTTACGTGAAGAAGATTTCAGGAGAAGTTTGTCTGCCGATAATTCAAAATCCTTTTTGTACAATCTTCTAAATGCTCAGATAAAACACCGAGTTGATTTTCTGGCCGGACTAAGTCAGCAATACAACTTCACTGAGGCAGAGATTTCATTCATAAACTCAACGATTGGATCGATAGAGTTGTTGGACAATTTGATGTCTAAGATACATTCATCATTACAACCTGACTACAGGTACAAAAATTACGAAAATTTATCCGTAAAATATGGCCAAATAGTTGAACGATTTAACCAAGAGTTCATGTCAAACCATCTAAGTATTGTAGAAATGGATTATCTCAACCCAATCATATTATATTCAAAACTTAATACATTGAATAACAATGGGACTGAAATCATTGAATCAATTAAAGAAAATGCCTTACGTTTAATTGATGTCTATTCTTATGATGTCAGTCTCATGTCTAAACACGATTCTTCTGAAAACTACCAAGCTAAACTAACTAGATTTTGTTTGGAAAATTTGAGTTCTCTTCGCAATGAAATCGAAAGTCTCAACCAGTTCTCCGACCATTTATCGATAATGACTTTCAAAACACTACTAACACGATTCGATTTGATTCTTCGAATTGCTGCCGGTGGGCCTTAATACCGTGGAAATTGTATGGACACGATTCTAGATTAATGGTGAAATTTTGAGTAAAAATCGCAAAACAAATTCTCTGTAACCATTTAAAATTATTAATAAATTTGATTCGAGCAGAAAATTTACATTTACATTAAAGCGAAATCATTTTTTAATTAAAATTTTATTCCTTAAGATTTTCGTGCTTTTGATCAACAGAAAACAAGGTAGATATTATTGTCTCAAAAAAAAGTCTCTAAAAATATTGACTCTCAGCTGAGAGTAAGAGAATTATATTTAATTGTTGCAAAGAAACATATTGACTCTCAGTGTATTAATATAATAATAATGTTCTCGATGTTCCGAATGTTCACATGATGCTAACTCATGAGATCGAAAGGAAGATTCCAGAATTTATTTTGATGATTCGAAGCCGATTCTCAGAAATGCTATGACAAAGTTTTCAATTTCAATCATTAAATCAATTAATTCTTCGAAATAAGAGCGAGATAAATTATCAATCTATTGAGATAAATAAAATAGATGCAATTAAATCAACTGATGGATTCAGAAAATAACAGCTATTTACACATGCTACAAATCAGTATTATTATCGATATCGAAAGTTACGACTTTCAACACGTTACTAAAATGATAAAGTTTTCGCACGAAACAATTTGGGAAATTATTATCAATTCTTGGGAATGGAAACAATTAGAAATGAAGACGAAGGAAATGAAAATGATTAAAAGATCATTGAGCACATCGAAAATTGTTGAATCTAAACAACTACTAGTCTCTGCTTCTCAAGAATAGTATTCTGGAGATTTGTGGCTCAATCAATCGTATGAATTTTGATATGCTTTTGAAACTATTGGCACTTTGCTGGACAATTTCGACCCAATAGACGAACTCCTTTAAGCTTAAATCAAGGAGTACTTTTATTACCAATGTATCACCACATCAAGCACCAATTAAGACATCATAATAATCATTGAGTTAAAACAGATCGTTTATGAAACAATAAAAGGACAACATGTATTTCAGGGTGTTTTCAACCTGAGCTTCAATTAGATGTTTTTTAATTTTCTTATAAAACGTAAAAAGCAATTGATACACGATTTTAGAATATTATAATACATTTTTGCATGAAATGTAGTAATTTGGTGACTCTTTTCATCACAAATTTTGGTCAAAATCAAGAATTTCGAAATCTTAATCAATTTCCTATCTTTTCATTTTTATTTTTTCTCAATTTTCAAAAGAACCGCTTCTATTTGATGGATGATGCAATGTTTTTGTTTTGGTTGATTTCATGATTATTTGCAATACAAATTGTTGACAGATTGTTGATTTCAACAAAAGCCTTTTATTATTGGTTTGGTGAGGAATTAATCATCAACAAGTCTACTTTTCTATCCACTTTGATTAATTTTGTTTTAAAATATTTTTTCTATTGTGATTAACCTGCGATGGATAATCAAACCAAAATACCAACAGAGTTTTTCGGTACAAATGATTACAAGTGTATTTGTGAGCTGTTTCAAGATTTAATCAATCAAATTGAATCTTATCGGGATGAATTATTGGAGAAAAGTGAAGACGTTACTTGTTTATCTTTGGATCAACTGAATTTGCATGGAAATTCAATTGTTATTGGAAGGGGAAATGATGTTACAAGAAGAAAGATTGAAATTGTGAATGAAACCCTATCCTCATTGTCCGTTATTCGGACATATTTGGAAGAAGCGGTCAACTTAATTGAATCGACTTCTTTTTTCTTTTCGTTTAACGATAAAGTGAGATACGTTGGTTTTGGTAGTTTATGTTTATCTACCGGAGAAATAATTGATAAATTTAAATGTTTTATCGATCGAAAGCTAAGAGAATGTGTAACCCAATTGGATTCGCTGGATTCTGGTTACAAATCTCCTTATGATTTCTCATCGATTATTGACAAACTGTTGAAATCTTTGGAAAACAATTCAAATCCTGATTCTCAAATCCAAGTGGAATCATTACTTAAACTTGCTAAAAGTGAATTACAATTTATCAGGCAATCAAAAGATATGAATGAAGGACAATTAACACTAATCAAAATCTATTGTGATAAACTTAATCTTCTCTATGATGAGTTATCATCGGTTGACAAGGAAACGGAAAACAAACCAAAGCAAAAAGCAAAGAAATTACGAGATATCGTAAATGGAACTCGATTAATTATCAAAGAAACGTTTGAATTGATTGTTGCTCTAAAAACAGTCGAATGGATTAACGAAAGTGACGAAATATTTGTCGTAATTAACGAGAAAGGAGCTGATTCTTTTGATGATGTTATCGATTACATGGAGAAAATTAAAAAACATTGGATTGAGAAAGAGATAATTAATGAAACGAGTAAAGTCTGTAGACTTGCAGCATTAAGGAGATTCAATGTTTACATCAAACAAATGAAGAAATTGTCAATACTTAAATCTGAATTGGAATCAGATTGGATCATTTTAGGAATAAAAAATATTATAACGAATTTCAATCGGATTGAAAGATCTTCATCGAGAATCGCCAATAATGCTTATTATCTCACCTACAAAGGACTACCGAAACCTCCCATTAAGGTTCCTGATGGATTCATAAGAGATGATATAATTTACAATGAATTGAATTCGGACTCTCATCAACATCTTTTAATTTTTTAATGCATCTTATTAAGTATCTTGATTATCTTAAATCATTGACTTGGAACAAATTTCAAGACAGAAAACCGCGAAAAGTATGTGATTATTTCGTTGATTTGATTTATGCCTTCAGAGCGCTAGTCGAATCAGACTTGGACGACAATGAATTAAAATCGGTATCCTTTGACTTGGCCGATCGTCTATGTTTTTCCAAGATCAAAATTGCAAATGATCGAGATGCATTAGAATATCGACTTTTCCGTTACAAGCCAAAAAAACCTCATAAATTTCCCGAATTGCAGAAAATATTGAACCGTAATCATCACAGTAACCGTTTTCGTGTAATGGATTATATCGAGAATAATTTAGACGAGATGATCAATGGATTCAATCGTAAAGTCACTAATCGTGGGCAAATGATGATCATGAAAAGTGGCATGGAAATGATGAAAAGATCATTAAGAACTTTACAACTTATGCGATCTGAAGCTTATTGGAACGAGGGACAGTATCTTGGTGATTATCTGGTTAATCAATCTGCGAATGAGTTTTGCTATGTTGTTGAAACTCTTGACACTTTGTTGGACAATTTTCGACCCAACAGACGAACTCCTTTTAGCTTTAATGCCGATGGAAAATTCACCCAACAAATAAACGAGATTGGACTTGGAATGAAAAAAGATTTCGAGATGGAGATTAACTCACAAATAGAGAAATTAAAAGTTACAATCAAAGAAAACGAAGAGAATTTAGAATCGACAAAAGAGGAAAAGATACAATTACGATACTTAACATCGATAGTCAAACGAAGTATATTGATTCCAATCAAAGAGATTGAATTGAGTGAAAAAGACGAAATTGAAATATTAAGAGAGATAATCGAAGAATATGAATACACTTTGATTCTTTATGGACCAATTGATTAGATCAATTCTTCTTCCAATATCGCAAACAAATTATGTAATCATAACCACCGCCATTCCAATTGAATAAACAATTAAAAGGATAATATTTTACAATTGCCATAAGTAAATCACTGATATTTTGTTATTTACTTAATCTATTAAGTGATTAAATTTACAATCCTGTTATTATGTATTAATAGTTAAATCAGTTTAAATGGAACTAATCTTGTTTTGCTAATTGTTTTCCGTATCAAAGAATTGATAAAGTTAATCATCTAACTGATAGAGAATTTCTTAGAAATTAGCTATTGTTTTCCAAGACTTTCTCATTTCAATGAGAATCAGTTAACGGAAAAAATAATAATAAGTTGGACCAAGCAGAGTTGGGGGAATTTATTTTTGATTTTTGACTTTTGATTAGATTAATTGTTCGATTTTCTCTATCGATGATGATATTTAAATTAATAATGAACTATCAGAAATTATGCCCAGTCCGAAGAATGTGATAAGTTTTATAATCTTTAAAAAGATTCTTTCAGAACGAAGTAAATTGATTCCAATCAAAGAGATTGAATTGAGTGAAAAAGATGAAATTGAAATTTTAAGAGAGATAATTGAAGAATATGAATACACTTTGATTCTTTATGGACCAATTGATTAGATCAATTCTTCTTCCAATATCGCAAACAAATTATGTAATCATAACCACCGCCATTCCAAGTGAATAAACAATTAAAAGGATAATATTTTACAATTGCCATAAGTAAATCACTGATATTTTGTTATTTACTTAATCTATTAAGTGATTAAATTTACAATGACCATCTTATCATCTTTATGAATTGATTGTTAAGCGAAATTATCTGAGCAAATTATTCTGAGGAAACCTTCTCAATAATGGAAAGTTATAATTTCAGTATTGTTTCACTGAGAATATGTTCAGACTACTCAAACTATTACATGTACCAGTTTAATTTTAAATTAGAAATTTACTCTTGTGTTACTATCGATCAAAAAGTTCGAATCAGATAGAACTCAGGATGCGAACATAATATCGTCGAAAGAGGAAAAGACATAATTACAATAGTTGATCAAAGAAAATTGATTCCAATTAAAGAGATTGAATTGAGTGAAAAAGATAAAATTGAAATATTATCAACTATTTTTCGCTTTTGGCTTGAATTTAAAATGGACAAAGCTCAAAGACTCATGTATACAGTTAACAATAATATTCTATCATCATGTTGATTTTTAAATTGTTAGATATCATCAATAGGTGGCCATCACTTCCTTATAGATTATGTGGTCATCTTGTGGTCAGAAAAATGATTCTCTAGTAAATTAAACTTTTAGTATCGATAGTTTCGTTATTCAGTCAATGAACATGAAAAAATGTCCAACTGATTATTTAATTCAAAAGTAACGTTAATATGAGTATAAATCCAATTCATTTGGAATATTTTTGTGACCAATCAGTTTTCTGGGTAAGTTTAGTAAATTTCTTCGAACTTGTAATCACAATTAAATTTCCACATGCTAATTTTTATCATAGTGCAATTAATGAAA